CTACTTAATAAAACGTGAAAATTTTTAATTTTGTAAAAACATTTTTATTAATGTTCGGCGCTTCGTTCACATTAACATCAAATAAAATATATATGGTGACTTTAAAATAACACGTCGTTGTAATATTAAAGCAATCTGTTCTCACTAAATTATTTTTCGTTAGTGTCGCTGTCTAACAGGTGATTTAAAAAATATATTTACAATCTCCGTACCAATATTTTTAGAAACAATAGAATATTTTTTAATAATCGTCGGTTCGACCACAGTGGTAACAAAAAATATGGTCACTTTAAAATGACACGTCGCTGAGTTATACAAAAACAATCTGTTCTACCAAATTATTTTTCACTTCCCGCAATGTAGGTCGATTTAAAAACAACTGACAACGTTGATAGTGAACTACTACGCAAAGTCCGGGTGCCCCGGTTACGCCGCCCAGTGGCGGCGGTCACAAAAATTAAAGTTACACCCTGTATATATACGAAAGATTGGTAAATACTCCTCGAGCACCCCGTATTAATGATGGGTGCCAATAGCTAGTCATAGTACTTACCTTTTCACGTGGGTAACTCCTACCGATTACCGACGTACGCCAAACATCAGCGTCCACCTGAGAAATAGCCGGTTGGGGGCATGTCCGACGCCCGCCGCCGCCGTGCAAGACGCCCCTCCGCGGCGTTGGCAACGGGTCCGCAGTGTGACGTCAGGGCTCAATACAAGCCGCGGCAGCGCAACCGACCCTTAATCAGTGGGTCCGCGCCCGTGATCTGGAGTGCTTGCTGTGTGTGCGTCCCGTCTCATGAAGAGCTGCATTTAACACCAAACTCCCCGGATTTGTAACGCTCGCCACTAGCCATGGGGGAGGTATGTCTTGTTTGTGTTCGCTTAGAACTTAGAGGAATGCTGAGAAGTAGTGCGAAAATAGCTTTTGAGTTTCCGATCGATCCGAGATAGAACAGGAGTTTGTCCGATGTTTTTTTTATTTTTTAAAGAAAGTCATTTTTTTATTGATTATTTTCAAAAGTATCCAGTCGAGAATATTTATTATATTCTATTCTTATTATAGTTGCATTAGTAAATGTGGTAGATGTTTTGTAGAAGTAATACAAGAGAATGCCATTTCTATGTAGTAGGTACGCCTATGTTTTGCCTAATATCTAATTTTCAAAAATTTATTATATACATTAATAATGAACTGGATTTTTCTCTTTACTAACGTTAACCGTTTTATTTGAAGATATAATATCGTGAACAGTCGAAATCTGAAAATTTGTCGGCCGATTTAACTTTTTTTAATAGTAATAATTTATTAGCAGTAATAATCCTTTTATCATAATTCACTATTATACGAGTAATAGTTTAATTCTATTTTAAATTTAGTTTGAATTGTCTACATACATTAATGACAACTAAAAGATAAATACAACAAATTTAAATTGCAATTTAGTACAAGTTTAGCCACGTAAAACTATAAAGTATGTAGTTAAACATAATGTATTGGTATTTTGCTGGTTAAATAAATTGATTTGTTAAGAAATAAGTATTAAGAATTTTTAAAGATAGGTACTAATAAATTGATATTTTTTCTAGATCGATTTAAAGTAATTCTTTAGATGCGATGCGGTTAGATTTCAAACCAAAAAAATTTAAACTTAATCAATGTTATCAATTGGAAGCCACGCCTATGTTACTGAGTAATCGATAATGTGATTTATTTTAAGGGTTCAGAAATTCAAGAACAACACTACCTATACAAATAATAAAAAGCTGTTCATTGAAGATGAGAAAATTTCTGTTTATATAAACATCTTGACAACAATATTTCTAACAAAATCTCGATTTTTAGTACACTTGACAGTCAGATAAGTGACTAAAATTATTATCTTGAAGTTTGAATATACTGGAATATTTCATGCCAAATGAATTTAACCAAAAACCGTTAATTTTATAAAAAAATTAAAGAGATCTGTTTTGTTCAGAATTGATTTAAAAATTTAGAAATTATGTTATTTTGCAGAAAAATTCACGGGCGTACGAATTATTCTTTTAAAGGGGGCAGTAACCCACCTCAGGCACGTCACTGGTGGGTGAAATGGATAACAGATATCTTTATTTTATTCACCATAACTAATATGTTATTAATACCTAATTTCAGTTCAATATATGTTGGTCTTTTTGAGATATTAAAGAAAATTCTTAAAAAAAGTTTGTTTTCAACACCCTATATCTCACAAACGAAGCGTTCTAAGACCTACGTTTATAGGAACTTTTCTTATTAAAAAATGAATCTATCAACTGTTAAAATCCTACCACAAAAAACTGACTCACCCTGTATATTATCTGAAAAATTGATACGCTGGAAAAAATACACGGTTTTTAAAAATGTTAGCGTTTGTCTACAAAATTTATAAAATGAAAAATGGTCATTCGGCGTTCCTCTTTTCTTGATGACATAGCAAAATCTATAAATATATGACCATTTTTCAATCAAACATAGACTTGGGTCATTTGAGTAAGTCCAACTTTTCAGTAATAGATAATAAAACAGCAGAACACATACAGTGCAATTAAAAGCACATTATTATAAACTGCTTTGTATCTTTCCAGACTATACGTATTAAATAACTACGTCGTGACGATGGAGTAATTGAGAACTATTTAAATAAATTAGTTTTCTAAATCCATTGACTTTATGTCTAAAGATAGGATGTATAATACCAATATTCAGTACGAGACTGACAACGTATTGATCCACCAAGCAAATGTATTTTTTAGCGCCCTATGATATAATTAGAATAAAAAAAACATTTCTGTCGAGAACCTCGCTGTAAAATGCGTTAAATCTGAATATTAAATTAATATAATTTTTAAAATTAGAATAAGTAAGTTAAGAGACCATTTAACTAGAACTCTTACCGAGATTGATATATCAAAATAATGTAATAGAATATTGATGTTTACTACAATCTCTTTTCTGCCATTCGCTTTTAAGGTTTTTAACAAAAAATCTTTTTTAATTTTTAACACCGTGTTTCTTGGAAAAGAAACGTCTAATCGAAAAATGGTACAAATATTATTATTATTTTTTTGTAACAGTGTGATAGACAGGGCGAGACATAACTTGTCAGCGTATCTTATACAATAACGAAGAACTATGTAAAATAAAAAGTAACACTTTGCCTTATGGGCGACAATTATAATGATACAAAATTTATAAAGCTACATGTTTTTATGTGAATCCACAAACTGTAAAACCAAAAACACAAATGTAATGGTCTTGCAATTATAAAAAGTGTCTTTAATTGACCATTAATGGGGACTTTTATTCGCAACGTGGCGAATCCACGAAAATACATTTTGAGGAAAGGAAAATATCCCTATAAAATCAATCTGCCATTGACTGCATTTTTAATCAATTTTATTATTTAGTATAATCAACGAAAATTTGATGAATTTGGTTCTTGGAGTGTTCTGGACAAAAAATTGGATCAGGTTCTCTATTTCCAATAGACACATCATTATAACTTTAAGTAAAAATTGCGTGCTGCTATTCGAGACTATCTACTTTTTCTAGAAAAGCAATCTAAATGTATGGATTTTTTTCTCGAAGAAAGTGAACGACCTCATGCAATTACCTATTAATGGCATTGATATGACTAGTAGAATTTACCAGACTAGATTAATGTTAAAAGTATATCAACGATAAAGTAAAAAATCAAGACATTTGTTTATAACCCTGATATGAATTGAAATGGACATACGGATGGCATTTTCTATTATCAAATGTAATAAACTGGAAATACATGTATTTCTAGTTTTGGCACTGCTTTTGGCTGATTACTAAAAAATGTTTTGTATCTTATTATTATGTATGTTATTTTAATTAAATGAAAACACATGGGTTTAAAGTATATTACGATTAAATGTTTCAAAAATTTTAATCAGTATTTACTTTATGCCTGTCTATTCATGTTATATTGTTCGTATGCGATTTTATTTGAAAGAATGACAAATTTGTGGTTAATTATCTTTAAGTAGCATTTATCTTTATGAATACCTGATTGGAAACAGTCTTGTAAAACAAATTGTCAGTTCCATGAAGTAACAGATTTGTATTAAATAAAATAAATTTTCATTTGTTCACTGCAATTATCTGAATAATGGCCTCTAGTTGTTATGAATAAGTCTAGTATATTTTTATGACCATATGGTGATTAAGAATAAAAATATTTTAATAAAAAATTTGAATTTGGTCGTATATTTCAAAGAAATATGTTTTTTTAATTATATCCATACAATACCTATCTAAAGTCTTATAGAATAGCATAGCAACAGAGTTTAATCAAATATTGAATTAAATAGATCTTTAATCTTAAGAATATTAAAGCCTTCAGCATATTTGACATTAATTAATAAAATGAATATTTATATTTAATGAAAAACAAAATCGAGAAATATTTTAGTAATTTTTATTGTAAAAGAAGCGAATTAAAAAGTAACAATTAAATATTTTTATTTCCCACCTTTGACGTAAAACATACATTTTATCAGAATTTCAGAGATATTTAAAAATAACCTTCAGTGACTTTTTTTGATATAACAATTGCCTTATTTAGATTATGAGTGTATGATAATTAAATTATCGTAAATTTAATTGGTTCGATAACGATTTTACCTTCCTAACTGCTGTAGGCCAGTGATTCTCAAAACGTTTCCAGCTCTTTTTGTTTTAGTAGCCATAGATATTCTGAATAAAATAATTTATTTTACAAAGCGGAATAAAATCTGTACATTTTGTACCATGCCCAAAAAAAGTTTAGGAATCACTGCTGCAAGCGGTAGTAACTTTTTAAATAACTGCAAAACTGTTACTTCATGAAGTAGTGTGTATTCATGGAAACAGGCTACTGTGGTGGACACTGATCACTGCGGTAAGTCGATGCAACTTTTTGAGGAATGTTCCTTTTCGTTTGTTTCAATGTTAGTCGCTTGTTTTGCAGCATGGCCGCTCCGATTCGTATCGCGTGGCCACTATTCCGTCCAATTACGATGACAACAAAACTGCCGATGGTAGAGCAAAGGTATATCATGAAATATTCTTACACTTTTTATTTCTCCAATTTCTTTTTCTCTGGGTCTTTTGGTGAAGGTGATTAACGTTATTGATTTTATATATTTTAGTATTATTTAGTTATTTCCCTAAATCCGTTTTCTTTCCTATCCTTTCTTTATATAATCTATTGGTCAGTTTTAAGAATTAAAAATTAAAAATGCCATTAAATAATAATTTAGCAAAAATACTTCGTACCCGAGTTTGAACACTGAAAAATACTTAAATAATGTAATGGGTTTTCAAGATTAGTTCCAATGATAGTATAACGATATAAAACTACCGTAAAAATTGGCATTTACTCTAGAACGGATGTAAGGAAATTGATAGTGTTAAAATTCATTGGATTAAAATAATGGCGTACCGGAAAGTAATCCCATACAAAGTGAAACGTATTTTCCAAAATTAATATTAAGGTTACAGTCAGAATACTGTTTTACAGCAAAGTTAGTAGGTATACAGGGTGTCCCTGAAATATATATACCAGCGAGCCACCCTAGATTCATAAGGTCAAAATTGCGACGATTTACGGTAATTTACATATATGCAAAAATGCACCGTAAGGGCGCTAGGGGGCGCCAATGTTTTTAAAAAAAATATCAATAATTAGTTATAAAAAAATGTTTTCAGTGATTTTAGTGACTGTAGTTAGTAATGACTAATTACAGTCACTAAAATTTTGATACAAAGTTAATTAGAGTTTAAAATATTACTAAGAATGTATGCGTTGTTTATGAGACATCCATTAATAAGTTTTGACATAAGCTTACTTTGAGAAAATCACTTATTTTATACACCGTAATATTGTAAGAGTTTAATTAAAAGCCGTTTTTCTCGAAAACCGTCCACATTAGGAAGTTCTAACAAGACATTTATTATTTTTAGAAAATAAAACTGTACATTAGAAATTGGAGGCCGAATGGTAAAAAACCTAACTTTAAAAAAATTAGGACATACAATGTAATAGGAATGTAGCATAACTAGCGCTCTATAAAATATCCAAAAATAATTAGACCAGCGTATTTGGTATCCTTAAAAACCCCGGAATACCAAATTTCATAAAAATATTTCGCACCGTTTGGAAATTTTCATAAAAATTCTATTTAAAAAAATTAATTTTGTCGCCCTGTATCTCGAAAACAAGAGGAGATAGACATATAGTTCATAAGACAAAAAATTCTTTTATTTTCTGTCGTACTATCATCCCCTGTATTTAGGGGAGGTCTTTCTTAAACACCCTGTATAGTTTAATTGAAGAATGTAAATAATTTTAGAACTAAAAAATTGTATTATTTTAAATCTTTCCAATTGAAAATTCGGCACAAGATGTAAGAGTATTTTTTATTAAATTGTTAGCAACAGAAAGTGGGGGTAGAATTGACATTAAAACAACAGCATTATTTACGCATTCATCGTCAGCAAATTATTTAATCTGACTTCTATTTATATCTACTTGATAAAATAATTCAGTTTGCAAAATTTGATATGCCGATGTATTAATAAAACTTGGTCATTTTGCGGTAGAAAATTGTTTCTGTAGGTATCAATCACCAGTTAATTCTACTTTTATTTTCAAGATTTAATGTTCTGAACAAGTATTTTTGCTCATAGTAGAGGAAAAAACGTTCTCCCCCTTTCCCTATCCCAACCCTATTTTTTAGGAAAAAAAAAGGAAAAATATAAAAAGGATATAAAAGGAATATAAAAGGATATAAAAAGGAAAATATTTTTTTTTAAACAAAAACATAATACAGCCATACAGGGTTGGTTACTTTTTAGTATTTTGAAAGCAATAATTAAATACGAATACTTTATATTTTAATTAAAAAGTACAAAATTATTTCAACATTGCACCTCGAAAACGAAGCATTCTTCGATATAAGAACTTTTAAATAAGATTCTATATCAGATGTTAATGTCCTGCTACAGTAAACTCACTCTGTATATGTAATGAATTTCAGTGTTATCTGAAATTTTATTGTGATTTAACGCACAAGAAGGATTGAGGAAATATATAGAGTATGTCATTGTGATCTACAAGGGTATGTAAAAACTAATTGGGACAGTATTTATTCGATTTTCCACGAAAGTAGTAATTTTAAGTAGTCATTACATAGCATGCATTAGTAAATTAAAATACGAACACTCCCCTATCCATAGATGTTTGTTTAAGACAAAATTATAAACAAATAAACATTTAATTCTTCACTAATAACAATTACCGTTTTATTCCCTTTCAGTCACGAAGGAAGGTGAAGAAGGCAAGAAAAGCAGATGATTTAGACGAATTAAAACAGGAATTGGACATCGACTACCATAAAATCTCACTTGAAGAATTATATCAAAGGTTCCAAACACATCCAGAAAATGTAAGTGTATTTAAGTTATATAATGTTTGGTTATCGCCAGGAATTCCATTGCTATTATCTCATCTAGGCCCGGTACACACATCCGCTTTTATACGCATCGGAATAAATAAAGCACAATGCACACCTCTGGTATATTCAAATATATTAGACATGAAAAAATAAATGTGTGCACTGACTTTGGTGCTATACGAGGGTGGTCTGAAAAGTTTCCGATTCCGACCTCAACATGAAGGCGGCCGTAAAAGCTTGGGAGACGATGAACGTTCGGGACGTCAAAAAACTGCAACTACCGACGAAAACATCGCCAAAGTTCACCAAATGGTGCTAGACGACCGCCGAATTAAAGTGAGAGAGATAGCAGAGGTTATGAACATGTCAAAAGAACGTGTTTGTCACATATTAAATCAACATTTAAACATGAGAAAGCTGTCCGCGCGTTGGGTGCCGCGTTTGCTCACGTTAGACCAAAAACGTGTTCGAATGAACATTTCCAACGCTCTGTTGGCGCAGTTTAGGCGCAATAAATCCGAGTTTTGGCGCCGATTAATTACTGTAGATGAAACTTGGATACACCATTATACGCCCGAAACAAAAATACAGTCCAAACAGTGGACTGCAAAGGGGGAACCGGCTCCAAAAAAAGCAAAAACTGTTTTTTCGGCTGGGAAAGTGATGGCGACTGTTTTTTGGGATAGTCATGGAGTTATTTTAATCGATTATCTTCAAAAAGGAAAAACCATTACAGGAGCATACTACGCATCATTACTTGACAAGCTGAAGGCAGAACTTGCGGAAAAACGGCCACATTTGCAGAAAAAGAAAATCCTGTTTCACCAAGACAACGCACCGTCTCACACCTCAGCGGTTGCCATGGCGAAAATCCACGAATTACGGTTTGAACTGCTTGACCATCCGCCTTACTCACCAGATCTAGCCCCAAGCGACTTCTTTTTGTTCCCTCATCTAAAAATTGCGCTCGGAGGACAGAGATTTTCGTCAAATGAAGAGGCAATCACCTTCGTGAACAATTATTTTGCAGAGAAAAACGCCGAGTACTATTTGGACGGGTTACAGAGATGGGAGCATCGCTGGGAGAAGTGTGTAGAGTTACAAGGAGACTATGTTGAAAAATAAAAAAAAAAAATCTGAAAAAATGTCTAGTATCTTTGTTAGGTCGGAAACTTTTCAGACCACCCTCGTATTAATTTAAATACAGGATTTTTGTCATCACCCACATCATTCGTTTTAGTATAGTCTTTCCGAAGTCAGTTGAACATAAAAAAAACGCCTGTCAATAAAATTTAATGAGTTTCATAGGCGTCCCTAAAAAGTTTCTGTTAAAGGAAAAAAATTATAATAATTTGTATATGTGTAGAACATTTCTATTATATGTATGTTCATTTGGCCAATAACATATTTTAATTATTTATGTCCACAAACAATTTTATTATATTGGTGGTAAATTTCGTTTTGTTCCGTTTCAAAAGGTCTCCAAAATGCCATGTTGTGATAATATTAGTAAACAAAATATCCCTATTATTTCTCCCTTTCGCAATTGTAATATGAATGATTGATAGAAGCTGTCTATAATAAATTAAAATTACCTGAATCACACCAAATTCCGCATTGTTGCACTGCACTGCTGGACAATTTGTCGACCACTTGTCAACGGCTGAGACTTATTGCCCAGTAGCCCAATGCAGCTGTATTTGTATTTTGTTTGCCCGCGCTCGCATTCTTCACCTGGACGTATACAATTCTACCACCTCCACGTTCAGTTCGCCCAGACCTGTTTATGGGTATGGTTAAATAAATATGGGAACAAGTTTTTCAAATATTTCAATGCCGAGTTGCTGCGTCAGCGACCGAACCTGGTACATACTGTCATCCTCTTGGTTCTTCAATTGATATCGGAAAGACTATACTTATTGATTAAACAAATTGGTCTGTCTACTTTTACGCGGATCGATTTGTTGCAGGGCCTTAGTCATGCGAAAGCGAAAGAAAACTTGGAGAGGGACGGACCCAATGCACTCACACCCCCCAAAACAACGCCCGAATGGGTGAAGTTTTGTAAAAATCTCTTCGGGGGTTTTGCCCTGTTACTGTGGATTGGTGCAATCCTCTGCTTTATAGCCTATTCCATCCAGGCTAGTACTGTAGAAGAACCCGCCGATGATAATCTTTATCTTGGCATCGTATTAGCTGCTGTTGTTATCATTACAGGTAAATATTGGGCCAGATATTTATCGTTCTTTAATTCTGTGACAAATTATATTTCGAAACGCGTTGATACAAATCATCTAAAAATTGTCTTCACCTAAAGTCATCATTATTAGTGAAAAACATATGCAGATAGACGGACACAAATAAGTTTGCGTCTGAAATAACTCAGCCCCCAATTGTGCACTAAACACGACAAGGAAAACCTGTTATCGCAAATCGTTACGCCTACGTCTTATTCCTTCTAGCCAAATGCGTTCTTTCTCAATCTCGCGCAGCTGCACCTGAGTCAAAACGCATACTTATTTGTGTCGACCTTGTACCTGATATTGAAATCATCGTATAATGTAAATCTTGAATGAATTATTTGTCGTAACTTAATATCTTTTGAGGTAAAAGTTAAAAAATTAATAATAATAAAAAAAGTAAGTTAAAATATACACATTTACTCTAAATTATTTGCGCTTTTAGATAATTTGAGATGTAATTGAATTAGAACAAAATCAACCGCAATATGTCCTTCTCATTTAAGAGCGTTTGGCCAATTCAAATTTACACAGATTTTTTATTTACATTATCAATTTTGCCAATAAATCATAATTTAAATATGTGTTGAATTAGCGTTTTACTAGAAGAGTCTATCCCTTTTAGGTATATTTTCTTATTATCAAGAAAGTAAGAGTTCTAAGATTATGGAATCGTTTAAAAATATGGTTCCGCAATTTGCCACCGTACTTAGGGAAGGTGAAAAGTTGACTCTTCGTGCGGAAGACTTGGTATTGGGCGATGTTGTGGAAGTGAAATTTGGGGATAGGATTCCTGCCGATATTAGAATTATCGAATCCAGAGGTTTCAAAGTCGATAATTCATCTCTGACAGGAGAATCAGAACCTCAGAGCCGTAGCCCTGAATTTACCCACGAAAATCCTTTAGAAACAAAGAATTTAGCGTTTTTCTCGACCAACGCTGTTGAGGGCACTGCCAAAGGTGTAGTAATCAGTTGTGGTGACAATACTGTGATGGGTCGTATTGCTGGACTTGCCTCCGGTCTAGACACTGGCGAGACACCCATCGCCAAAGAAATTCATCATTTTATTCATCTCATCACCGGTGTAGCTGTATTCTTAGGAGTCACATTCTTTATAATTGCATTCATCCTTGGTTATCATTGGTTAGACGCTGTTATTTTCTTGATTGGTATCATCGTAGCTAACGTACCCGAAGGTTTACTAGCTACCGTTACTGTATGTCTTACTCTTACGGCTAAAAGAATGGCGTCCAAGAATTGCTTGGTTAAGAATTTAGAAGCTGTGGAAACTTTAGGCTCTACTAGCACGATTTGCTCAGATAAGACTGGAACACTAACTCAAAATAGAATGACCGTAGCTCACATGTGGTTTGACAACCAAATCATTGAGGCCGATACCACCGAGGATCAGTCGGGCGTACAATATGACAGGACAAGTCCAGGGTTTAAAGCACTTTCACGAATTGCTACTCTCTGTAACAGAGCAGAATTCAAACCTGGCCAAGATGGTGTTGCTATACTAAAGAGAGAAGTCAACGGAGACGCTTCCGAAGCCGCCCTTCTAAAATGTATGGAATTAGCTCTTGGTGATGTCATGTCTATTAGAGCTAAAAATAAGAAAGTCTGCGAAGTACCATTCAATTCAACTAATAAATACCAAGTGTCCGTACACGAAAACGAAGATCCCAACGATCCACGTTATATCTTGGTAATGAAGGGTGCCCCAGAACGTATCTTGGAGAGATGCAGTACGATCTTCATCTGCGGAAAGGAAAAAGTTTTGGACGAAGAAATGAAGGAGGCGTTCAACAACGCTTATCTAGAACTGGGTGGTCTTGGTGAACGTGTGCTTGGATTTTGCGATTTCATGCTGCCTTCCGACAAATACCCCATTGGCTATAAATTCAACAGCGACGATCCTAATTTCCCTCTCGAAGGCCTCCGTTTCGTGGGACTTATGTCTATGATTGACCCTCCACGTGCTGCAGTGCCGGACGCAGTTGCGAAATGCCGAAGTGCTGGTATTAAAGTTATTATGGTTACTGGTGATCATCCTATTACGGCTAAGGCAATCGCTAAATCTGTGGGTATAATCTCAGAAGGAAATGAAACTGTCGAGGATATAGCACAAAGATTGAATATCCCCGTTTCCGAAGTTAACCCAAGAGAAGCCAAAGCTGCAGTTATCCACGGTTCTGATTTGAGGGACTTATCATCGGATCAACTAGACGAAATCTTAAGATACCACACGGAAATTGTGTTTGCCAGAACTTCCCCACAACAGAAACTTATCATTGTGGAAGGCTGTCAACGTATGGGCGCTATTGTGGCTGTAACAGGTGAGTTTTTGTTGTTCTTTTGTCATACGCGGTGATTTATATGAACAGAGCAAAAATAAAATGCGTGGATGTCACTGAACGTTCATAAATGCACAAAGAAAAACAATAAAATAAAAAATGCATTAATGTGATAAACTCATGGATGTCACTGATTAATATCATTTGCCTAAAATCATATAAAATAGGCACTGTTACGGAAAAGGATTGACTGTTTGTCCATTACATTCGAAATACTGTGTTCTAATCGGCGAATAAAATGTCTGTAAACGCCGTGGATCTATGATTCTGTTATTGGGCAAACTTGCTCAAAGATTTATTTGTTTAAGACTTTCCCAAACTAAACCCGAAATAATTATTTGGGGTTTAGAGACAGCAAAACTTTACTGACAATTATTCCTTGTTAAAAACGTACGTGGGGACAAAAATTTCACTGTTGTCGCAGTGATGGTAACATATCTGGTATGCTTCTACAGAACAGCAGTAATTTTTTCACTCGCTTTATTTATGAATTTTGTCAATTATTGTTTTACTTATGAGAATAATGAAAATATGAGTAAAAAAGGCATCTAGGCATAAATAAGGAAAACATAATTAATGTTATTGATGTATTCCTGCGGAAATTGTCGTACCCGCCAAGAAATCACATTTAATATTTAGAGAATAGACAGGTTCAAATCTTGTAAACTTTGGTACACTACATGCAAACAGTCTTCATAAATGTTTACAAGCCACTTGACCAGTAATTTTGTCTGGAACAGTAATTTTATTTCCATCGTGGGCAATTCAAGTTCGGTAAAATTAAAACAGTAAGATCAAGGTTACATTAAAACACAACATTCTGTTTCGTCGCCTGTAATCTTTCACAAGATTCTATTCAACCAATCAGCAATCGCGTCATCTCGAGCGAAGGCGTAACGGTTTGTCATTGTTCATTGTAAACAAGTTATGGGTATCGGTGGCGCCAAGATCTAGCGTGCAATGTTGGGTTACCTAAACTCAACAATCACGTGGCTTGTAAACATTTATGAAGGCTCTGTACTTGGTTATATAAGTCGGGTTATTCGTTATATAACTTGCGTGTTATTGAAAATATCTGTCAATATAAAAAAAGAAAAACATTTTACAATAGTTGATTTATTTATTTTTTAATAGTTTTTAAATCTATAAATGCACCCTTTTTAAAGGAATGTATATTTTCATAATTTTTCATTTTTGCCTCAATTTAGTAGTATACTACTTTTCAATATGTTTAAAAAACATCTAACGTAATTATTACGCCCTTCAAAGAGTGTGGAAGTGTCCGTCTATGCCTAACTATTGGAAGTACCAAAGAGAGGCTCTTGATGAGTAGGTCTATAATATTAGGATACAAAATAAAAAACAAAATTGTTGAGCCTGGACTTGTAACTAGTCTTTTACATGATAGACTACCTTACCATTGAAATAATACCAAGTTCTAATAAATCACCCTATACATTTTCCTGCGTTCCTTTCATGGTGTGTGAAGCTCTTTGGCTTAAAAACTCGAGCGGCTATTTTAACTACTCTATCAAATATGAATTATTAGTTTTGTAAATAGCCAAGCCTTACGCATAATGAAAGGAACATGGCTACTTGCCTTGCTTTGTTTTTCCAAATAGGAGATTTTTGTATTAAGAGATATTTGAAATGGATTAATTTAAAAATATGTTAACCCAGATCTGAAGAATTTAAAGTAAACATATTGATTTGTGCGTAATATGAGTAATTGAAAGAGTTTTGTGTTAGCACAGTGCAATGTTGCCTACTGAATAGTGAAAAACACACCTTCATTTTATCCTAATTGCGGGATGTCCAGCCTATTTCAGTTTGTGTGCAGTTAACAATTAATTACATAATAAGCCAAGAGGAAGTTCCATTCTTAGAACAGTTACAGTAAACGCTGATTACACAGTTTTTTTCATTGTCGTTTACAAAGTTAATTGTGACGCTAATTAACATTGATAGAAAACGTATTTTAAACATTCAAGTAAATGTTTCACTTTATACCGCATCGTTATACACTAGGCACAAAAATTACTGGATTATAAAAGTCTTAAAATTTTTGGTGATTTTCAAAGAGAAGAGAGGCTTGGAGGGAAATAGTTGTAGAGAGAATAAAAAAAATGTTGGTTAGAAAAATGGTAAAAAATTGCATAATTAGGGATATTTGAATAACTTGGCATAACTTTGCAAATAATGAATAAACAAAGGATATCGGCTGTAACTTTTCAACCTCAAAGTATCCTAAAGAAACCCTGATAATTTCAAAACACTGCGATCCTGCCTATGCGTTCAAGCATGAGAAATCGTTTCATTCTCATGCAGGATAATGATCATCTTCATACCGCAAAACGTACGAGAAAGTTTCTTCACGCCAACAATGTGGTAACTCTTAACCACCCACCTAAGAGTCCCGACTTGAACCCCATTGGGCATGTTTAGAACATGCTCGGGCGTCGATGACAACGAGATTATCCGCAATTACAAAATCACCATCAATTGACCCAGGCTGTTTTACAAACTTGGCAAGAAATTACGCAACCAGACATCCGGATGTTAAATTATGATCTGCAACCAAATTTTTTTGAACGTTGGGAAACCTGGGAAAAAGGTAAAAAAAAAATTTAAAAATAATTTTTGGATTTTTTTTTTTTTCATTTTTGTAGAATCATGAACGTTTTTTGTTGAAGAAAATATGGATTATTGCTAAGAAACATTTTTAACATAAAAAAAAATAGTCAAAAGTGAAAAATTACTTATTACATTGATTACGACAAATTTAAACATTCCGGGCACTAGAAAAAAAAATCGCAGCGTTTTGAAATTATCAGGATTTCTTTAGGACACTTTGATGTTGAAAGGTTAGTCGATATCCGTAGTTTATTCATTATTTGCAGTTATGCTACGTTATTAAAATATCCTTAATTATGCAATTTTTTACCTTTTTTCTAACCAACATTTTCACTTTGAAATTTTTTTTTATCAAAAACCCATAATTACGACTTGTAGAGAATACTTTGCAGTTTCCAAAACCCTACTTGGATTTTCTGTACGACCACTTTGATCGACGATAACTCGACTACAAATAATCGTACAAGGCTCCGGAACCGCTCAAATTGAAGAGAATTAAATTATTTAAAAGAGCTTTATGATGAAGTTACCAAAAAAAAATGTTTTGAAGTCCATAGGTCTTTTTAAAAAAAGTACAAATTTACAATTTTTTTTCCGTCGATTTTCTTATGATTACTCAAAAACTACCGACACTAAGCAAATTTAAACTGAAGATCTGAAAACTAGACACCTGAAGCTTCAATTTCCTTTTTTTTTATTCTCTCTACGACCAGTTTCCTCCAAGTTACAGCTCTTTGAAAATCACCCAAAATTTTGGGATATTTTTAATATCCCTTAATTTCTGTGCCTAGTTATTATGGATATCGTGGTATGATCTTAAGTTAGACGCTTATTACTTGTTCGGTACGGCACTAATGTTGCATCGCAATGACACTGAAGGGGAGAAAATAAAGGGACTACACGTACACATTGCATCTTTGTAATAGGTCAAATTTATTTTTTCCGTTTTTCCCCTATAGATGTGAAAAAGGCTGCCCCAATGCCTTTTTGAGGAGCAGACTTGCAAAATGCTGTTTGCCAATTGAAATTTTCAAAATAAATAAATATGTGTTGTTCATATACTGCTTTATATTTTGACATAATGAGCAAACAATATTAAAGATAGAACCATATTGAATACACATATAAAAAAAAAATAAAAATAAATGATTGATTGAAAGTAAATAGAACAAACCGCATTTTGTATGTGTCGAGTGGACATAAGTCAATGTATTGTAAGCCCATCGGTAATATTTCACTTTTCTAATGTTGAAATAATTCCTGAAGTTGATCAGCCTGCATTCTTAGAGGAGAAATTGCAGCTTCTCCACAGATATGGTAGAACAGAATACCGTTAGTTTAGGTCAACGTGAAAGATTGTTTCCAATTAATCATATCGTTAATTAATTAGATTTTCCACGTCCCTTATTCCTGCATTGAGTGGTGGTTGGGGTATTATTATTATTATTATTATTAGTTATCAAAAAACATATTAAAAAAAGTCGTTTCATGATTCTCTTCCTCAAAGGTATTTACAAGTATTTTTTACTATGTAGTATACATATAGAAAAAATAATTCCGATATTTCTTTTATCCAACCTATATCTTGTGACTGAAAGGTGGCTCGAGTATTTAACTTGATCTTTTCTTTACGGGAATATTGAAACCATCTTATTTTTCACTGCAACGCTGATAAAATCCGTAAATGACTTGATCGAACCAACGTCTTTCTCAAAACATATTTTATATCTTTTGAGCGGGAAAAGTTATCAAAAACTTTTTTTATAAAACTGGTTCAGAAAATGAAAATGACGTAAAAATGTGTTTTACATATCTAAACATTTTTGGTAATGATAATTGTATATCGTTTAATTTGTTTTGAGAGCTCATATATTCATATTAATATTGCTTTCAAACATAATATTGGAAATACTAAAATTTGGACAAACTGCGTTTTGCACGAGTTATAAAGTCATTTTTTAGGTTATTGGTTTTGCAAATCTGCTCCTCAAATGTTGTAGGTTATTTAATCATTGCGGTTTCTCATTTTTCGTAAGGTTCTCGGAAGCTTGTTTCAAAATGATAAAGTAAATGTGAATTTGTAAAATATAGGAGATCCCGCAGAAACATAAAGTGTCAGTAATCAGTACCATTTTATGATAATTAACTCCCGTACGTTTTTCTTTTGTGAAAATAAGCGTAATAAGTTAATTTAGTTTTGTGTACTGAGAGCTTTAAAATCTTATTTTCGCCCCCATGACAAAAAGTCGCTGGTATGACCTCATATTGCACTACACTTGCTGCATTAGTTTACATACGAAGGATGTTGTTTAACATGGACACCCAAGTTCAATAAAATCCCCCACTATCTTATAACAATTTTGTACCAAAAGGCCCATGAAAATAAATTTCAAATGAACAGGTGATGGTGTAAACGACTCTCCCGCGCTAAAGAAAGCCGACATTGGCGTAGCTATGGGTATCGCCGGTTCGGACGTGTCAAAACAGGCGGCCGATATGATCCTGCTCGATGACAACTTCGCATCAATCGTCACTGGTGTAGAGGAGGGACGACTGATTTTTGATAATCTGAAAAAATCCATCGCCTATACTTTGACTTCCAACATTCCCGAAATTTCCCCCTTCCTTGCATTCATCCTTTGCGACGTTCCTCTTCCACTTGGAACTGTTACAATTCTCTGCATCGATCTTGGAACTGATATGGTAAGTCGCATATCAATTTATTTTACCGTTATTCGAGTTATTAGTCTGTAAAGGAGCCGTCTTGTGATATTGTATTGATGTTACAATTCGTTTACGAATTGAAAAAAAAAATGATCCGTGATCAGCGATTCTTATTATGATAATGAGAAAGATACGTATTTTAAATTAGAACAGTTATTTTTTTAAGTGATGATTTTAATATTCTGTTGCTGTTTATTTTTTAAATTCATTGGTCAGGAACATAATCAGTGGTTTTTAATTACACAATTTTTTTTTGAAAAATGTGTAATAAACTCAAAAGCAAAAAGAAGGCAAAAAATTAAGACGATTTTTTCCTATGGGCCATAGACGTATTTTAAAATAAAGTTTTTACTGTATGTTTTTCCAAAATGATTGTTTTTCTTTTAAATAAAAATTTTTACCTTACTTTTTCCAAAAAATTATGTATTGCATTCAAATTTGGTATATGTAAATTTTTTAGAATGCCGAAGGTAATCGTTTTATAATTTTTCGACTATTTTGAAAGGTCGCTAGCTACGATTTTTCCTAGCGTCGTTTTAGACTATAACCTTTTTGAGGATAGGTTTTCTGCGTAATTAATATCTAATCGCGATTAAATAACAGCCAATCACGTTAACGAACTTTTAAAATGAACCAATTTTAAAGTACTGAATATAATTTAATAAAAATTTTATGTAATGGACACTAGTAAGAACCTCTTAAAATAGTGTGAGAAAATAAAATTAAAAAGTGTAAATACAGGGTGTTAAAAATTTAGGTATTAAGTTGTAAAGCTTAGCCCGACCCTGGTAAACTAAAAAAGCTAAATATGTTTCAAGGACATTATTTTAAGAGGCCCTTACTAGTGTCCACCACATAAAATTTTTATTAAATTATATTAAGTACCTACTTTAAAAGTTATTCAAGAAAAACCGATTTCCAGCGTCGTCGTCCAGGGACACATATTTCCGTAGGGAGGGCCTGTACGAAAACATTTTATAGGAACTTGCCATCTTATTTTTTCATGATCTATCTGCATTAGAGAGATTTCTCACATTTTCCCGGACACCCTGTGTAACGCAAAAAATAATTTTTCATAAAAAATGTACCATATTCGATAAAAACGCAGTTGATTCTGATAAAAGTTCTGTTAAAGTAGGGGTAGACTTTCTTGTTAAAACTTTTATTATATATATTTTTTATTCATTAAATATATGTAAATTAGGTACTACATATTTACAAAACAACTTTTATTTGACAGGAGCGGTTGTTTCATGTGTTGTTATTATCTAATTGTTTTTCTCTTAGACTGGAGAAACCAGTGGTGGGCGAATTTTTATCAAAATTATGCCAACCCAACTTCTACAAACATATCACTGGTGGCGCGATGAAATTCTAATTAAAAAAAGTCATCATCAGAAATATTTGTATGATAAATTAATAAATATTTAAGATAAGGAAATAATTTGATTAACAGGGTTAATAGTAAATTTGTACATATATTTAACTTAAATTCTTTACATATACATTTTGAGTGCCGCTGTGCACATGCACATTTATGCCAGCACACCAAATAATTGCAAATTTGCCAAATCATGTATGGGAAATTTTATTTAGAATTATTAGACTTCTTAGAAATCTTTTAGTTTCATACTGCACCTAAATCTAATGTATTGTGACGGATTCTGGTTTACAAAACAGTAACTGGTTTTATGAGTGATCTGAAATTAAATTATGCAGTATTCAGTAATCATAATCCTAATTTTAACTTCTTAATAAAGAAATTCCTAAACGAATGAACATTTAATTTAAGCAAACTAAGTACTATCATAAAGTTTAAAATTGCAATATTTAAAAGGCAAATCTAATAGATTACTCAAAAAGCAAATGCAATAAATAAATGCTTAGATAATTATTGAAGATTAAGGTATTGAAACAGTTGTTAATTACTTTAAAATATGCTTAGTCCACAAACCATGTACTTGTACACGTAGTATTAGTACCTATTCATAGTATACAAGTACTTAGGAAATTAATTTAGAACAAATTAACAGTTGAAAACACAAAAATTAACACTTCGATGGTTTTCACAGCAAATACAACCTCTAAATAAAGTACATTAAATATTAATTTAAAAAATATATTGCAATACACAAATAACAAATACTAGATAAATTTGAACTTAGAAATATGTATTTTGATTTTGTGCAAATAATCAAATATGCTTTAAATAAAATATTATTTTCAAAGCAGACTTCTGCAACGACTTTTCTTGTTTACCGTAAACCGTAATTATCGAAATTTTCGTAACCAATATCCCTTAAATACGTATAACAAGAACAAGACACGATCAGTATTGCCGAAAACCTTGTGCTGATGGCACATTTTCAGACTATTCATTTTTATTTAAAATTTTATGAAAATTTTATTTTAAATTTCTCCATGAACTTATTACCTATACAAAAAATTTTACTACATTATTTAAATTATAAGTATATAAAATTACTGTAAGGTACTTTTGTAGTGAGTAATTCATAATTATGTATACTTTAACATTGGGTTGTCGAGTTGATGTAAGTGTCAATCTATTTTCACAGATGGTGTTTTTCTTTCAAATGTGAACTGTGGTGTAATCAAGTTTAATGGTCGTTTGCACCAAAGTGAAATAGTAGAAATGTTAAAGGGATATTTTTGCTGTACAAGAAATATTGAAGTAAATAAGTTGATAAATATGCAAAAACCAAGACAGTCTAACACATTTGGTATACATTTATTACACATATCAAGGAGGTCTGGTTAATTGAACAAATAAACGTAAGAAATTTAAAGAAAAGTTGAAATTTGGATTTGATGTATTCATTTGGTCTAGAGATATCGATCTTTCATATACTTACCGAAAAATATAGAGCTTATGGTTGTAAATGTCAAAATAAAGTCAGCGGTTCTCAACAAGTTTTCTTTAAAAAAATAAAATATTTATTTTAAATTTTATTTTTTATTCCTAAATTTTTGCAAAAAACTTAATTACTTGTTCTTCACAGTAAACTGTTGCATAAAATGTACGATCACATTTCAAGTTTGCACTGTATATGAAGTAAGGGAAGTTTTCTGGAAATCTAAGTACTCATTCCTTCCAAAATTTAGAGGATCCACTTTGGAAACCCTCTATTTGCAGATAGAAATTGGTTGACTATGGCAATCAATAATGGCATTTTGTCTTTTTTTTTTTTTCTAAAACTGTTCAGTGTCTGCAATGCAAATATAACAAGAATATACTTTGTAAAATGAAATTTTGCATTATAATATGTGGCATACCATACAACGCAGAAAACCTAACCTCAAAAATTTATATTAAATATTTTTGGGAATAGTTGGAAATCTAATAATTCTGATGTAGCATCGTAGCATCCTCAAAATCTAAATTTGAAAACAATATATTTTTTGAAATATATGATATGATAAAAAAAACATATTTGACACAGTATTTCAAAAACAAGCAGGAAAATAAATATTTTAATTTTTGATCTATTGGTCCCTAAATTTGTGGCATATTTTTTCAAAATACTGTTCCTGTTAAAATGATGCTAATTCTTCAAACTTCCTCTTTACCATCACTTATTGAATTGAAATGTTCAGTAAATTCTAAGCTTTATTGCAAGACATCTCCAAACTGAATTTTAGTGTTACTTTTACCCCAAATTAAATTTTGTAAGGCATCAGGTATAGTAGATGTATAAGTTTTCACATAGTAATTTCCTTTTGAACGAAAGGTGCCGGCCATATCTCTAGCTTACGAAAAAGCCGAGTCCGACATAATGAAACGGCGCCCACGTAATCCATGGACAGACAAATTAGTAAACGAAAGGTACAAAACAAGTTAACAACATGAATAAAAAGTCGCATGTAGGATTTGATAAAATTTTCTAAGTAAAATTTGCACTGACTGGGCTCGGTTACATTTTAACACTTTTTTATTAGTAGAGATAGAGCTATTTCAGTATTCAGTAGATTTTTATGTTACTACTATTACTGTTAAAATAAAAGGAAGGTATTCAAGCGCCAAAGGTATGTTTTCATAAATTCATTTTCTTCTGCTAACCTTCAAGTGTCCTCTATAATGTTTATTTATTTCCGTTTACTTTTAAGCTTTAAGAATCGAGCTCAATTTGAGCTAAGCTAGAGCAGTTTTATCTTGCACCAATTAAGAATAGGTCATTAATTTTTTTTTCTGAATATAAATATATTTGCTTGCATATTAATTTATTACATATTCAAAATTTGCAGAATATTTTAAATGATTCTGTTCATTTTCAAAAACTCTAAATTAGTGCAAGAAAAATGGTGGCCTCCTAATTCATTCCTAGAACAATACTGAACAGTTGTACCCATTTTAACCTTTACTTTAATTTTTACCTTTTTAATTTCTATATTTTTATTTAATTAAACATAGGTGCCTGCTATTTCTTTGGCTTATGAAGAAGCTGAGTCTGACATTATGAAGAGACCTCCGAGAAACCCACAAACTGATAAACTTGTCAATGATAGGTGCAGTTATTTTTTATTTTAATTATTATTTTGGTTTTTGTTTTTTGGGGTTATTTGCTCGCCTACTAACCAATCAAATAACTTGGTTTTGTACAATATTTTCGTAAATACTAAACAATCTAAAAATGTTTGTATACAAGTATAAAATGCAAATTCCAAAAGACTGAACTGTCTAACAAAAAGATACCTACTAAAAGAAATTTATTCTGATGCCTGCGGTTTATTAATAAACGTAACTGCATGGGAAATTTCTACAATTAGAAATTAACAATGAGTAATCTAACATGTACATAGAATTAGTTGGATTAACTGGGGTAAAATTATGTATTATTTTTTACTGTATTTGTATAAACAAACTGACACAATTACACTCACCCTTCCCCAAATGGTGTAGTTAGCTTGCTTAGCACTCAGCCTTGTGCAGACCTTAGTCATAGAGTTTTAGTGTTGATTACATAAACCTAAACAGTTGTAAAATTATGTCTCCTAAATGAATAACTTCCCTGATTTAATTTAGGTTCATGTAATACTTGATGTTCTAGCTAAGTATTGTCTACATGAATTCCATGTTTGTTTCATTTCCAACATAACATAAATAAGGTTTTCTTTATTGCTGGACCAAATTTTGAAATAATTTCTCCATGTTAATAATTTGTTAGTTTTTTTATTGTTGTTTTATAGTAGAGTGTAGTTTTAATTTAGAGAAGTAGCAGATTAGTAAACAAAATTATTACATTATTAACTTATACAGGGGTCTTTCTAAAATATTTAGCTAAACTGCAACAAGAGAAAATAAATCCTGTAGATGAAAATGCTTAATAAAAAAGCTGCAGGGTGATAAATGTGCATTGCCAAAACACATTTTTTTTTTCAACTTCAAAATAATCTCATGGGAGATAAGTATTTTGGGAAAAATTCTACTTTTTTTCTATTTTCTGAAAAATAATACATTTTTTGGGAACATCATTAATAATAAATTTATTTCTTTGATTCTGATAGACTCTATATATTATTATCCAAAAAAAATTAATGTAAAATACAATTTTAGATAAAAAAAAACATTCGATTATCCCTTGCATATCGGCTTCCGTTCAAAAAAATATAAATATTCCTTCATGACATTGTTGTAATTGCCAATCCTGGTGCAAGAAGAGGGTAAGAACTTATATGCAGATTGTAACAAATAAGGCAAAATATATATTTTTTTAAGTTAGATTTTTTGGCTAAACAAGTATAACATCTGAATTAGTTTGTTTATAAATAAAAAATAATTTGTAGTGCAAGAATGGGTTATATGATCACATTATTATTTATTTTTGTTTTTGTGAATAACCAATATTCAAAACATTTTTACAAAAATAATATTAAAGACGAATGGCCAAAACAAATACCTACTAGGTGCAAAAAATCAACACATAAGTGGTTCAAAAATGTAATATGCAGAAAAGGAGCCTGTCACATTCTTGCACCAAACAAACAGAGTACACATTTTAATCTATAATTTACATAACTCTTATTTTTCAAAAATATGGACTCATCTCCTCTTTGCACAAAGTCTTCAATTATTGATTGTCTACAGACCTATACTGAATTTGATTTGACGTGTCACCTTTACCACCAAGTACCTACCTTGTTTACAAAGCATTTATCAACCCATATCCTTATAAAACTTTTTGCTTAAAATGTTCTATCTCCTGTTTCAATTGGGCTACATATCTTAGAGTTGCCATGTTTTAAAAAATTACAGGTTGTCAATTAAATATGTAGAGTCTGCAAATCAACAATTGTTGGGATACAGGGTATTAAAGTTAAGAAAAAACTCACCTGTTCTAAATATTTCAGAAGACATTTGATGCAGAATGGTGAAACTTAGGTTAATTACACAGGCCAACAAGGAAAAAATTCCAGAGATCAGACACTGCGTTTCCGAAGGCATTTGGCGCGCTGAATCCGAATCTGGCCTCAGAATTGATCCATCACCCTAGGTTTCCGAGATATTCTAACCTAAAAGTGCAAAAAACACGTATTTTTGCTATTTTCAAGGTTATGTAACTTGGCGAAAAAATTTTTTTTCTCAAAACTGAAAATATCATTGGAAACTACTATCTTTCCCCTTCAAAACGCATTTTTTTATTTGTAAAAAGCTTTATTTTTCGCGGAGATATCGTCGATTAAAGATGATCAGTATAGCTTCCTTATTAAACCATGGCTATAACACAATATCACTAAGCGCTACGAGCCTTAGAGGGCTCGCAGCGCTTAGTGTTATTGGGTAATAGGGCTTGAAGTTAACCTTCCTGACGATTAGGGCTCACAGCGCTTAGTGTTGTGGGGTTATAGGGCTTGGGATTAACCTTCCAGACATATAGGGCTTGGGGTTAACCTTCCTGACGATTAGGGCTCGCAGCGCTTAGTGTTATTGGGTTATAGGGCTTGAAGTTAACCTTCCTGACGATGAGGGCTCGCTCCGCTTAGTGTTGTGGGGTTATAGGGCTTGGGGTTAACGTTCCTAACAATTAGGGCTAGCAGCGCTCAGTGTTATGGGGTTAGCCATGATGTAATAATATAGCCATACTGGTCATCTTAAATTGACGATATCTCCGCGAAAAATAGAGCTTTTTCCAAATAAAAAAATGCGTTTTGAAGGGGAAAGATAGTCGTTTCCAATGATGTTTTCAGTTTTAAGAAAAAAATTTTTTTCGCCAAGTTACATAACCTTGAATATAGCAAAAGTACGTGTTTTTTGCACTTTTAGGTTAGAATATCTCGGAAACCTAGGGTGATGGATCAATTCTGAGGCCAGATTCGGATTCAGCGCGCCAAATGTCTTCGGAAGCGTAGTGTCTGATCTCTGGAATTTTTTTTTTTTTGAAATTTTGTCGGCCTGTGTTATTTTTCTGATTAGGTATGGTAAAAATTAACAGAATTCCGATATACGAGTATGTACATGTGACTGCTACTTCTAAACTCCTTATGATGTTTCCAAAAAAATATATATGTCTCATTTGAAAAATTAACTTTTTTAACTTTCATTAATGTTACCAAACACTTTATTAAACTTATACATATTTAGAACTACTTGTTTTGCAAATAAAGTTCAATATGATTTCTTTCTTAAATACCAGATTATATTGAGAGAATAATTTGAATATATTAATGAATTTTGGATATTTTTGGTAATTATATTGATAGAATAATAATTATTGATGATGTATAATATCAATATGTTCCATTGAATGAAAAAAATTGGGTCAAAAACGAAAAAAACAAAAATTTAATTTTTACTTCAAATTGAATCGTGAATAGCTTTTGAAGGAGTAAATTTATGCAAAAATGTTAAGGGACCTCTTTTGTAGAGCATTAAATTTCCTTTGAAAATCTGTATTGTTCTTTTTCAGATATTAATTTGTTCGTTATTTACAAAATTCCAAAGTTAAAAAGTCAAATCGAAAAAACATATCTATTTTCAAGTCTTGATTACATGGAAATGGCTCATCTGCCGAAAATTTTCAATCAGACCTTTTTTGTAGGGCATTCAATTTCCTCCAAAAATATATGTAGATAAATTTTTTTACCTCGATGGTTTAGCAGTTTTGACGCAAAAATGGGATCACGAATAAAAAATCTAAACTAACGATGATAGTCCTCTTAAAACTAGTGCTGGCAAAAACCGGAAAAAGTGAAACTGGTTAACCGGGTTCCGTAAAAACCGATTTCAGATAAAACCGGTTAGTCGAATAGTTGCTAAAACCAGTTATTCGAATAACCCGTTACTTGAATCGCCAAAACTGGATATCTGAAAATCGGTGCTTTACAAAGACAGACCCGGAGAAATTGATGTCTAAAAAAAAAGGACAAATCGATATCTAAAAAAAAAAGGAAGTAGATTATCGAATAATCGGTTATTTGAATAATCAGATATTTGAAGAATCGAATAACTGAATAACCGGTTTTCGGATTTCATAAAAATCCGAATTATCCGAAACCGGTTAACCGACTATCCAAAAAACAGATTTCAGTTGCCGGCACTACTTAAAACTAATATTAAGGAAGGGCTCAAACTCTCACGATATATTTTTTTTCATCATTCTGAATGATATTCTCGATATATCTTTAAAAAAAAAATAGTCGATTTTTTTGGCCCAGTCTAATAACTATATTTTATTTTTGTTATTTCTAGAGCTTTTTTTTTCAACATAAGCCTGACTACATATTACTATCAGCGTCATCTTTTAAACTATGCTTGTAATAATACAATCGACAGCTTTGAAGTAATGGCCACTTAGTAAATATTACTGTGAAAATAATCGAAATTGTTCCTTATCAGCCAGGTATCTAAAGTCATCCAATATAGCAGCTTTAGGAATCAATTTCCTTTATGCGTTTGACTTTTAATGCATTTACACTAACAGAAATCTTGCCCAACAAAATTATTTCACAAATACTACAATTTATTACTGCTCAACAAAATAACGAAAATATTTAATAAATTTATTGGTTTTATAGGAACAAGCCATTTTTAAATTTCTGTAAATGTAGCGATGCATTTTAATCCATGAGATAATTTGACAAACGAAAAGAACCACAGTCCACAATGCAAACTAAGGCCCCTGTTACTTTGACATCTTATTTATGCACCAAAGTGTCAAAGTCTATTTAGTAATAATTGTTAAATTTATCATTTCCTTTTTCCACACTAAGATAATAAAAATAGCAACATAAGTTACAGAAAAACTCTCTTTATTAAAATTAATTTGAAATTCCAACAATAAAGAAAACTCACATAAACATAGAAACTTAGCACACTAGATCTAGACTAGGCAAATCAAGGAACAGTGCTGGCATGTAAGTGTTTGCCCCTCATGGCCGTCCTTCTTGTGGTTTTGTTTTTGACATGTATTTGTTTGGCCGAGATCAGGTCCCTGCCATTTCGCTGGCATATGAGGAGGCAGAATCAGATATAATGAAGCGAAGACCTAGAAACCCTTTCAGTGATAAACTCGTCAACGAAAGGTAACAAAATGTCTTCGTGTTCTCTTCTCTTGGATTGGACCAATCGGTTCTCTCCACTGCCTCAAAAATGACTCGGCTTTATATATCTTTTGTTTGTGTTTCCTGATTTTACTCATATGCGAACTTCTGCTTTCCTTCGATCCACTTCACCAGCACTAATGCCTTGAGCTTGTTACGAAAGCCCCGTATTAGAATATAGGTAAATAGCTTATGTTGTATTTCATTTTCAATACCATCGCAAATTATTTGTTTCAATTTATATTTGAAAGTTATTAAAATACTAATATTGGGCTAAGATGCTGCAATTGATATCTCTTGTCACCCACATTTTTAAGTTAATTTCTCTGATGGCACAGTTATTAAAAGAGTTATAACAAAGGCTAGAATTGATATTTTTAATAGATTTTGCAAATATAAACTGTGGGTGGCTTTTCAAGGGTTACTGACCATATCAGTGGTAAGTAGCTGCATTATTAAGCTTTTCTTGCTTAAAATTTAGGATACATCTAAATTGCTTTTAATATGAACATTTGTTTCACTAAAGTCTCGCATTAATATTAAATAAATTATTTTTTTCATTTTTGCTGCTCTTTAGTGAGAAATGTTCAATGTTCGGGGCTTTGTCCACTTCATTGGCTCATCCATTTTGCACAGAAGCTTTCGGCGCCCCTAAAAAATGCTGCCTTCTCCTCCCCGTTCCTCTACACACTATTCTGAACAGTCTAAATACTAAAAAACTTGTGCATGCCATTTTTTTCACTACTAACTGTGTGTATTGCGCTGCCGCATATGCCGGCCTTCCTCTCTATAGGTGCCTGCTATTTCTCTGGCTTATGAGGCCCCGGAGTCGGACATTATGAAAAGACAGCCTCGCGACCCCTATAGGGACAACCTGGTTAACCGCAGGTGGGTCACTGCAGTGGCGTCGTGATGGCTTGGCACCACACAACAACTACCTCGGCACACGCAGATATACCAATATATATATCACCTCGTGTTTTTATCACAAGCACTGTTTTATTTTAATTTTATTGAGAGTAGCAGCTGAGTAACTGATCTATGAATTGCAGGCAGACTTAATAATACTGCAATCTTTTTCGCATGTTATTCCATATGTAAAGAAATATGATCACTTTTACCTTTCCGTCTTGGATATGTATTGAGTACTTCATCTTTAGTTAAATTCCTAAGTTTTAACCACAGTTATACTGTTAGGTTGCCACACCTGCAGCAAAAGTTTATATCAGAAGTTTAGCAGCTTTAATAGATTTGCCATAGTATTATTGTGAGGGTTTTAATTTCAATTTAATTTTTTTAATTTCAATGTGATTTCCAAACAAGTACAAAAAAAAAATTTCTCTAACCTGCATTTGATAATCATTGACTTCCACCTTAAGAAAATTATTGAATATGCTTTTTTAAGTTATGTTTTTTATCTCATAGCATTACTTTCTACCTTTTAGCTTTGTCATGAATTCATTATTTTAAACTTAGTAGTCTATTTTCTAGTCCTGTTATACAAAGTTAGGTTCTTTTGTAGTTTAGTAATATCTATTTAACAATCTGCCGAGGTATAGTTTGTGTTGCGTCTAGATTATTGTAGGACTGTTTTAGAAAATATTCTAGTTAGTTTTCTTAATTTACTTCTGTGTTAAATACACAGAATGTCTGCCTTCAACATAGACATTAGTTTTATTCTTAGAAAAATATAGTTACATTAGCAATATTGTGTAGAGGTTTTCTTTGGCATGTATTAACCAGTATTTGTTTCCTTCTATTGGTATGCTTCTTTGAGAATAATTAGAGTAGAGGGTCTATAGAAAACCATTTAAATCAATTATTATTATTTTTTATATAACTGGTCATTTGTAACTTGTTCGCAACAGTTTCTTTTTATTTGGAATGTTTAGAAAATCTATTCCATAGAGTTTGATATATTCCAAATTATAATTATATTTGTATTTAATATATGTATTAGTTGTAACAATTAATTTATCCTATCGCATTGTTATAGGTTTGGCCAACTTTATTTGTAGCTAGATTTCTGCAACATAATTCAATAGAAAAACTTACGTAAATAATATGAATTATCGAGTTTGTATTAAATACTTTATTTTTTCCTTAATTTAAAGATAATAATTTATGCAAAGAATCATACAAGCATTCCCACTAATACAATCCAATACCCTGTAAAGCAGAAGTACCGCTTACGGACAGATTGTCATTTTATATACTGATTTTTACAGAGAAATTTTTGATGGCAGAGTAAAATGGCACATCTGTACTATGCATGTCTACTAACACTACTTAATGTTATCAGTGTTGTTAAAAAAAAATAATAAAAGCATGATTTCGTGGGATGTATATGTCGTAAGTATCTACAATTTTTAAGCAAGTCCTTTTTGCTAGATGTTTTGAATAAGAGCGAAGTAGGCAAGAAATTTGCTTAAAAGTTGAGTAGCTATGTACACTTAATATTATCTAAGTCAACTATCTGTACAGATTAATATCCATGGCGTATGGTCAAATTGGTATGATTCAAGCCGCAGCTGGTTTCTTTGTGTACTTTGTGATTATGGCTGAAAATGGATTCCTCCCAATGAGTTTGTTCGGAATTCGCAAGCAGTGGGATTCGAAAGCTGTCAACGACCTTACAGATTCGTATGGTCAGGAGTGGGTTAGTAAATCGGTGCAAATATTTAGCTACGTGGTCTTTATAAACTTGGAAATTATTTTTTAAAGATAATCCTGTTATATTAAACCGTGACACAAAAAAAATATAAAAAGATAATACTAATCCTGAGAACAGTGCACATTTACAAAACATCCTGCCGTTGTCTAATAGTCTGAGTTGTAGCTTCAATGACATTTGATAGTTCTTCAATATTGTTGACTCCTTTGTCACATACCGAATGCTTTGAACATCCCCAGAAATAAAAGTCTAAAGGATTTAAGAGCAGAGAACAAGAAGATTAAGGAATTGAACTACATCCACATATCAGGAAATTCAATATTTAAAAACTCATATCCAAAGTTCGAGTGAATTTTCACTTCACATAATAAACTTTAGTAACTATTAGCAACAAATGGTGTAATTCAGCTACACTTTAAATAAGCTAGAGGTACTTGAATAGCGATTATACTTTTTGCCTGTCATTTCATGATAACTTTTAATGGCGTAAGTTTTAAACAATCTGCATTAAAATAATTCTCCAAGTTTGTAAACACCTTGTATATTCTATTTTAAGCAAATACTACATTATCATTAATAAACCAAATCAGCGTGTGTATTTCAAGAAAATAGTTTTTATGAAATGAAAGATTATTTGAATGGTTTATTTTGTTTGCAGACCTACCGTGACAGAAAAACATTGGAGTACACCTGCCACACTGCATTCTTTGTGTCAATCGTGGTAGTGCAGTGGGCTGATTTGATTATTTGCAAGACCCGTCGAAATTCTATCCTTCACCAGGGAATGAGAAATTGGGCTCTAAACTTTGGTCTTATCTTCGAGACTGCTTTAGCTGCATTCTTGTCCTACACACCTGGTATGGATAAGGGCTTACGTATGTTCCCTCTCAAGTGAGTATTAAAGAGCTAAGTATAAAAGTTATAAGGTGTATTTAAAAAAAAAAACACCGCCTGCAAAAATACTACAAACTGGCATTTATTATTTGTGAAAACTATCATAATAAAGGTAAATATCATAAAGACAAATTTAAAAATAACAACTGTGTTAAATATATACACTTGTCTTATTTTGTTTTAAGGCAAACCTTACGTACTGAGGGTCGCTTGCGGTATGCAGCAAAATAAAACTCTCAACAGTAAAATAAAAGTATTTTTATTGAAAACAAAGTTAGTGAAAAAGAAGTGTTGTCGGAGCGAGAGTTCGTTGGAAAGTCTTCGTGGTGTGGAGTCACTCGCAAGTATAAGTATCTGGTCCTTGGCGCCAAACTGCCGTGGACTTTTTCCTGGAACTCTGTTGCGTCCCGCGTTTGTTTTTTGTCCTTGCAACTGTTAGACCAGTATGGGCGGCATCAGGCTGGCACTCTTGACGTAATACTTAAAATAAGTCACTTGCGGACATGTGTACCCACAGTATATTTGACACTGAAAAATGAAACAAATCTTGAAAAGCAATGTTCTATTCCTAGAGATGTAATATTTGTATACTTAAATTGTCGATGTAGATCATTTGCAGTGTTTCCTTCAAGTAAACTCTGCAAAATATTTCGTAATTATGCAGTGTGGATTTTTTTTAGTAAGTTATTAAATTTCGTTACACCTTTAGCACAAGGGACATCAAATAAATTTTGTACTTCTGTTTTTACATGAGCGAAATATAATATGAAAAGACTCTAATTTAGCTGAACCATACCTCCACTCATTACACTTACCAAAGTATTCTAATAAATAAGTAAGTGGTAGGATTGTATTTTTAAAGCTATTTTTGCCAGTTTTTTTGTATTTTTTTTTTAAATTCGGCCAATAATGTCCTGCATTTTTAAGAAACCCATATTACAAAATATAGCACTGTTAGAGAATTTCGTATTTTATATTTATATATTTTTTCCAGATTTGTGTGGTGGTTACCAGCCATTCCATTCATGTTGTCTATCTTTATTTATGATGAAGTGAGGAGATTCTATTTGCGACGCTGTCCAGGAGGCTGGCTGGAACAGGAGACCTACTATTAAAAACATCAAATTCAGTGTACTGCCACCAAGTGGCCACTGTGCGGCGTCTCGACCGCAGGTCACATAGTTACTTCGATAGGAGGGATCTCGTATAAATTAAAATACATATATCAATTTAGAAGACTCCAAGAATCTTCTCTAATATTTGCCATTCAGAAATTATGACGATGTTTTTTCCTATCGATTGTTGTACAAAATACTGTTGCTGATTCTAGTAAACTTGCTGCTTAAGCAGTTTGATAAGTTTCAATTATTATGTAAAAGAGTGATTTCTTATATAGGTGATGTCTACTTGATCCGAATCACTCTACTACACATATTAGCTATTTATTAATATAATGAATTTCAGTTAAAAAAAAATAAATGAACAAAAGAAACAATAATAGCTCCTGGACAGTTATCGTGAATAAAAATATTCAACACCTGCTACAACCAACAACAATAAAACACACTGTCAAATAAGTACCCAGGTTAGTCGCAATAGCGTTTTCATACATTCCAGTTGAAAACTTCAGTTGCCTTAGTGCTGTTGGACACGGTGATGTTCAGTCTGGTCTCGGGCAGGGGTGGTGGCCGAGCTAGTTGCCTGTTGAAGGCCTCCACCCATGCTCCACGTACGTAGAATCAATGTGGACGGATGATTTAGTATTATTTATAGGCTTTCAACACTTAGGTTAGCTAGGTAGTAACTGTGTTGTTATATCGTATTAAGTGTCAACCAGTCGTGCTCAATACACACCATGACTGCTACTATCACGATTGTAAACGTTTGACATTTCATTCATTTGTTTGTATATACTTTGCCGTTTCAGCAGGCCATTTGACGGTTGCCGAGGCTTCTGTCATTAGGGCTGATCATTATGATAAACACACCACATAAAAGGTCTGCTTTTGTAGAGTCCTACTTTCTCATAACAGGTTGCGCTCTGGTCTGTGACCAGTGGACCTCGATATTGTTATCTTATTGTAAATATTTTTAAGTGAATCACTTAATTCATTTGGCTTGTGTTCTTTTCACATTTATGTTTTAGTACGTAATAAAGCTGTATAAATTTGGGTTTTAATAAAATGGATGATAGTACTATTTTGTATTTTAATAATTATAACTAGAAAGGTAGGCAAGTCCGCTGACGCGGACTTGATCTTTCTCTGGGGGCCTTCGGTCCTCGAGCTGCGCTGCACGCGACTCAAGCTCTGCTCCGCGCTGCGTTCTTTGTGGGTTGGTAAATAATATAACATTTTCCAAAAAGAAAAAAGAAAAATGCGACCCACTCGCGATTCGAAGCCCGGACCTTCGGCTTCGCAGTCGTGAGTTTACAAAATGAGCTATGGTAATCTAACGCTGGTTGAAGCCTGCATGGGCTATTTGAAACATTGATTCTTCGCGAATGTAAACAGAAAATTGAAAATGTTCAAATCAAGTTTTGTCGCCAAAGTTGCGTCTCGAAAAGATCGGTACCAATGCCTAACGGCAATGTAACGACTCACCATGGCCTGATCGTCCGGGAAAACGCGTCAAATGACAAAATTTATTTTGACATCTTCACTGACGTTTGTCTCGGTTTACTTCAGGTATCTCTCTCCCACCGAAAAAAGTCAATTTTCGGCGAGGACTCTTTTTAAAGTGGAAATTTCACATAGAAGGCTTGAACAGATCGCCTTCAAAATAAGACATTTGGATAAAGGAAAGACCAAGGGGCCCTTCGGGCCATTGATAATACCGTACACCTCTTTTCGCAACCGAGTGTGGGAACGAGAATAACCTACAGCTTTTAATATGTATGGATAATTAAAAATGGTATCCGGGTCTTAATTTTCCTGCCAATTTAAGAATACGGTAAGTATAAAATAAAACTTTTATTTTTTTAATTTTACATGTACTGAACACATTTTTACAAAGTTTTATAAATACTAATGTTAAAAAATATATATACAAGTACATCAATAAGTAAATTGCACAAATTCTTGGAAACAAGAATATAGGTATCTACAAATTTCTTACATTATGTCAGACCACAAGTGTCTGAAGGTATTCTGTGAAATGATTTTGTGAAATACCTACAAACATGGCCAAATTAGAAAATAAACTTTGCAAAATTTCCCCCTTTAAATGGTTACATGAATCAAAGAACAAATAGTTACATTTTTAAGAACGAAAGGATAGTTTAATAAATAAATAATATCAATAAATAAAACGTAATTTTACTAACTCTTTACACATATTTATCTGTTATTTATTTTGCCCAAGCTTATTTTCAATCTTAAAATAGTGAGACTAGTACTTACAGAAACATTACTAAGCTTAAACTAAATTAGAATTAAGAGCTTCTATTTTATTAAAATGCGGTAAATGTGGTCCATCTACTGGCAAAAGTCCTGCTTCCGTGCACGAGCGACAACAAAATTTAGCATAGTACTTATGTGAACAGAATTTGGCTTTTACTATCAGTGCACAGTTAGCAAAGAATTGGTTATCGGTGCAGCTAGGGTGGATGTACATTCCTGGAATTATAAAAAAATATAGTATCAAGACAGTAATTGACAATTAGTTTTGAAAAAAAAATGTCAAAATATTTAGAAGAGTATTGTGAAGTAGTACAAGGAACTAATACTACCAATGTCAGGGTGTACAGCTGCACAAAATACGTAAAAGTAGTCTTCCTTATGTATTCACATAAAAAATGCAGTTTTACTAATTTAAACATTCCATCAAAAATAATTCGTTTCAGGAGTCTGAAGTAATCTATGAGAGTTCCCATTTCAAATTGGGGCATAAAGAGTATAACACTCCATTGCTTGGACAAATCAACCTCTGGTATAAGAATTTTTTGTATCATGAGAATGAATTTTGAAAAAAGATTGTGTATCTCGTCTTATTCAAATTCCAGCTAAAACCGATTACAGAAATGAATTTAAAGATAGTCATTTTTTTTTAATATTCATGGATGTAAAAATCTACAAGGAAAAATACTTACTCCAAATATGAAGGGGCTCAAAATAAAGGGTAAATAGAAATAAAAAAATTCTAAAAATAACTTCTATGCCAGAATTTTTTTTTTTTAAATATTCATGGGTGTGAAAATCTACAAGGAAAAATACTCCAAATATGAAGGGGTTCGAAATAAAGGGTAAATAGAAATAAAAAAATTCTAAAAATAACTTCTATGCCATAAGATTACATGATAATCACCCTTTATGAATACTGATTTTAGTAAATTGAGTGTAAGAAATTCAAATTAAGCATCAGATTGCCCATGGCGCAGCTTTTTGGATGCTCATTAGAGTAGAATGAGCTATACTATGCATAATTGCGAGGGTTGATTCAAAAGTAGATTCCTTTATTTTTAGAAGTAGAAAACATTGTTTATTTCCATAGCAATTTACTTGGTTGTAAAGCTTAAACATTGAGCTATTTTTCAACATAGCTCCATATTTGACCATTTCTATCTAAGCATTTTTGGAGACGGTGCTTCCAACTTTTGTATTCCCATGTCGCAGAACTACGCTGCCAATCCTTTGAGAAAGTGAGTAACCTCTTCTTTGACTTTATCGCCGGTCCGGAAGCGTAATCCACCCAAGTGTCCTTCAATTTCGGGAACAAGTGGTAATCACTAGGGGCTAGGTCCAGACTATAGGGGATGGGGAATGACAGTCCAACCAAATCTTTTCAGTAGGTCATGGGTTTGACGAGAGACGTAGGGTTGAGCGTTATCGTGAAGAAGCATGATTCCTTTGTTCAGTTTTCCTCTCCAACGGTTCTGGATCGCCCGTCTGAGTTTCATTAGTGTGTCACAATACCTGTCTGAGTTTATCGTTGTTCTAGGCAGAAAGTCGATCAACAAAATCCCTTTATAGTCCCAAAACACCGTAGCCATCAGACTGTTTGTTTAAACTTTTTTGGCTTAGGCGAAGTTGAGTGGTGCCATTCACGTGATTATTGTTTTGTTTCGGGTGTGAAATGAAACATCCACATTTCGTCACACGTAACAATTTCTTTCTTTCGCCTCGACATTCTTGAAGATATTGGTGGGCACAATCGACATGTTGCCGCTTGTGGTCTTCTGTAAGCATTCACAGGACCGACTGCACACACTTTGTGATACACCAATTTTTCAGACAAAATTCTCTGAACTGAGCTAGCCAGTTCGCTGATAGATATCCTTCGATCTTCGAGCAATACTCTGTCAACCTTCTCGACAATAAAACAGATGGTCGTCTGCTCCGCTCTTCACTGTGAATGTCCATGCGAACAGCAATAAACTCCCTACACCATTTGCGGACTTGTCGCACAGTCAAGCACTTTTCACCATAAACTTGGCACAACTAACCATGAATAGATGTAACCCGTTTTGTGTTTAAATACCGTATAACTGCCAACACTAAACGGTAGAGATAAGCGGGGTATATTGGGATCGAGAGTGGGGGTGCTGCTGCCAGATTTTGCCTAACACCTCTCCTTGCGGATCTATCATTTTGAGAACCTTACTTTTCAATCAACCCTCGTATATTATTATTAAAATGTTTTAAGTTGTGATACCACGAGATGGTACTGGGCCAAATATGCTGCGTACTCCAGGTACAATAATTTCTTATTTGTGCAGCACAGACTAATTGTTATAGCAAAAAAACTGAAACAAATGGTATTTACCTTCAATTAAAATTTCTAATGTGCTTGATGCTTTGGAATAATTATTAACTGCCTCGCACTGATAATATCCTGAGTCAGCCTTCGTGACCTTGAGAATCGTCAATGTATGAGAATCTGAAAAATCAAGTGGTTGTAAATGAGGGCAAATATTAGAAAAAGCTGCTTAATTAATTTATGTAAAGAATGTTTACCAGTTGGTAGAACAACCAATAAAACATTCAGACTATTAATATTTGGAGGATTAATTTACAAAATAACATTCTAACATTACTTCAAAAACTAGGCTAGTTGGCAACATGTGTCACTCGAACAACTCGTATATATCGTAATTTTTTTTTCTCCTGTTTCTAGGCTACTTCTACTTTTTACTAAGGTAAATTTTTAACAATTGTCTTTTGTAAACAGCCTATATAGATTTGAAATTTTAGGTATTTCTATATAAAAAATGTATCAGAATTCAAAAACATTTTAAAATAACCTTGTTATAGGTACTTTGCATTTTACCTGATATTGCAATTCTATCTGATGGATTGAGGGGAACACCATCTTTGTACCACTGTACTTGTGGTTCTGGATATCCCACTACTTCACATGGAATCTGTATGTCACTTCCAACAGGATATCTTTGGTCATTTGTTGTTATATTTGCTCTAATGGGTACTAAAACATTGAATTTAAATTATATTTTGATTTGTATCAAGAAATTTGTGTGTAATCACTAAAAAATTAGTCAGGGGATGTGGTTTTTTTTAAATTATCCATTAATGTTATGTAGTGGTGAAAATATATTCAGTAAAAATCAAATAAATTATGTGTAGGAATGTATGTAATACTAAATTATAAAAAAACTGTATTTTTAGAAAACAAAACTTATAGAGTCAGAAGCTAGATTTCTATTATTGCATTTTTAAAAGGATTATTCTTATGCAAAAGGTAAACAACTAATATTATGAATAATACAAAATTTTCTGACATCAAAATAAAACTTTCGATATTTTTCCAAAATTTTGTTACAAGCACATCCTGTAAAATACAGATTTTTTTTTTTTAATAACGGACATCTGGCATAATGTAGATAATTATTTTCAAAATAAGAAGACAGACTTATATTAGTTTTTTTTTCATTTGCCACAATTTAGCTTGTACCTTACAGTACTAACCTTATACAAAAAAACTGAAAAGACATGGATTCATTCTCTATTTACTAACAAAAGCAAGTGCTATTATAATCACCCATTATATACAAAAGAAAAGAATAACAGAAAGCATGCAATAATGTTAAGTAACAAAAACAAGTAAACAAATGTCTACTACAGTCCCATTTTTAAAAGAAAACCGGCCCGTGGAATGCTAGTTCTAACTTTGTTTAAATGAAGCGTAACATGTTAACTCTATGAATGCCATTTTTTTATCCAAGCAGAACTGAAAAGCAACGTTCATAAATGAGTTAATATTTATAAAACATCATTGTACTTCATTTAAATGAAGTCAGAACTAGTATCCCACAAGCCCGGTTTCTTTTAAAAATCAGACAATAACCACATTAATAATAAATAACATGCATTACCAACTGATGGAAGAACTACTCCGGTATCTGGAGGAGGCACAGGCTCTGGTACTATTTCATTGGAAGGTTCAGGGTAAGAAGTTGGTGGAACATACGGTTCAGGAGTAGGTCTGTAAGGAACATAGAACCTAGGAGGTTGTGGGGTGGTGGTGGTTCTAGTAACAGTTGTAGGTTCTTCTGGAGGATTTACTATATACTGTTTGTATTTGAATTCAGCTGGATCAGCAAAGTGGTATGGTCCTCTGGCTTTCACTGATACCGCCCAACTGGCGGCTTTGCCGACACCATTATATGCTTGGCATGTGTAAATCCCCAGGTTGTGGAGTTTGACTGAATGTATGAGTAGAGAATGATCTTTGCGAACTTCAAATTCGTTATTCTTTAATGGAATGAGGTTGTCTTCCTTCCACCATGTTATAGAGGGGAACGGATATCCCAATACAAAGCAGTTAAGTGTAGTAGGAGCATTTAACGAGACTACTACTGGGGGTTCGTCTGTTTGATCCAAGATTGTGGCTGGTCTAGGTTCAGAGTCTAGTATTTGTTAAAAGGAAAGTTAGTTTAAGTAGATAACATGCACAGTAAAGATGTACAGAAATGAAATTATCTTCAAATATTACTTTCATACCTTAAGGTTCTTATTCCATTTAAGAATTAATATCTTACATATTGTTAACTTGCAGTTAAGTAAAAATAAATGACAGTTTTTAAGGTACGACCCTTAAGATATAAATATATGTATAGAAATGTATAGTTTTAGATGTGCACCCAAAATGCCTTGTGTTCCTTATTTACAAAATGTATAATATTTACCTACAACTTCCAATTTAATTTGATTCGTAATTGGTTCACCGATACTATTATCAGCAGTACACAAATAAATGCCAGAGTCGGTCTTATGTAATGTGATAATTTGTAGAGATTGATCCAGTTTAATTCGATATCTTGGTTGTGTACCATCAATCTGCATAGTAAATAAAATTAAGGGAAAAATACAAAAAAATTACATAACGAAATACGCTTACCTCAAAATTATCTCTACTCCATTTTATTTTAGGATTGGGATTTCCAGTTACCGCACATTTCAGTACTGCTTGGTCACCAATGAGAGCAGACACTTCTGGCTTATATATTTGGGAGTCCACTTTTGGAGGTTGGACTAGAACATAATTTATATTGTTACTTTATTATTTACATTGAAGATACACACACAAGATACAGATTACAAAGTTTATATGAAAAAAACGTTATTAACACAATAGATAATATGCTTTACTTACGTCCGATTTCATGAGGCTTCTCGGTATAAGCAGGTTCTATTGGCATTTGAGTATTTAATTGTTGTGGGGCAAGCACGGGATCAACACAAGCAGTACCACATCCCGTCGAGCAGCACTTTAAATGCAGCGTACAATCAGCGTCAGAATTGCATTCCTGTTCACAGTTGGTTTCACTTGGCTCTAGAGTTGGACAGGTTCCTGGTTTGTTGCCTAAAAAAATATTCAATATAAGAGATATATTAATGAAAAAATATATCCTGAAATTTTATTACGCGTTATATAAAAATTATGAATGTTTTAATTGTACATTTTTCAGTATAAATACAGTTGTACAGGGTGTTGAGACATGAATGAGCCATACTTCAAGAACAATTGAATAAAAATTAACTGATTTAGATCAAAATTATTCTAATTCTTATTAAGATAACTCCTTTACACTTCATTGTAAAAGTATTAACCTGCTAATTCGAATAATTCTAAAAAATTCTATCAAATGAAAACTTCCATATAGCGACTAAATTCAAAAGAGACAGAAATAGTAACTACAAGCGTTGAATGAGAAATAATACTAGTTCCTCACTCACTGTTACAAGTCAGATATTCATCAATATTCAGTCGCAAAAGAACGCCTATTGTGGGAAACAACTATATCTATGGGCTGTATGTTCCGACTAATATTGAATTATACTAACAATAAGCAAACAAACTACTAGTAATAAAAAATTATCTAAAATAATTTTTTTTGCAGCACTGTGCTTAGTCTATGAATGTCAACATCAACGACTTCTGGCAACTTAGTTTAGATGAAATACCTCTATTCACCAGATGTGGTCGTACTCATATGACTACAAGACACTAGATAGACATTTAAACAGAGAGCTAACGTTAATTCGGCAAAATGAGAATGGCCAAAATATGCTACCTATATATTTATATTAGCTTTCAGTTTATTGGTTTATGGAAAAGTATTTATAATGGGGTAAGTAGGTAATATTGAGACTTTCTGCATGAAGTATTTTTTAGTGGAATCGAAATAGAATTTATATAGTGCAGTGTTTTTTGTAATGTAAGTCCATGATCTTATAAAATTATTCATTTCAATGTTAAATTTCTCTGTGATTTGACAACAATGGGGTATGTTCTCACAGCCAGTGTGTGCGTTTGTGTGAAGTTACTCAAACCAAACATATTATTGTTTCTAAAAAATTACCTCCTACACCAAGTTTCATTGCAAAATCATAAAAAGTTGTAAGAAAAAAACAGTTTGATGGAAATGAAAATCATATTAAGGTAACTTGATCTAACCCAATTTATTTTTATTCAAGGTTGGCGCCCTTGAAGTAAGTTTGATCTATTTCTAGATATCATGTACTGTTAAATGTTATCATAATGGTATACTTACTTTGTCTACATATTGCAATAAAATCTGCATTTGCATCTGAAGTTTTGTTTCTGTTAATGTCTATAGCACACTGTTCGTCCTCTAAACATTCCACATTTCTGCACGGATCTTTGCACTGACACCTGTTGCATTCATTTTCATCCACATATGCTTCAACTCCATATGCACATTTGAGTGTGGTACATTCATCAAACATTTCCTGGCAAGGATGTTGTGGCACATCCGTTACTTCAACTTCGGGTACAGCTAAAATAAGAAATAAAGTAATGTTGCATTATAACACTTGATTCTATTCACAAAATAAGCTTTAGCTCTGCTACATGTTGCTAATGGCGGAATAATTTTACTCTCGGCCTGCTAAAAATAAAAATAAACGATAAACAGCTAAATTTACAGCAAATTATAAAACATAAAGGCATTTGTTGTAAAAGCTGAGTGGAGCAAATAAATGTTGTAGGTGCATTATAGTAACTTACAAGACTCAGTTGGTGGTAAAAGATTTCTACAAAAATCAAGGCAAGATTGGAAAGATTTAAAATTGTTGAAATTTCCACCACAGCCACTATAAATGAATGCGATGCATTCTCCCCGCTGGTCATCAAAGTACCACCGTTTGTGGTAACCCTCTTGGCAGGAACCTTGATCTACTGGTAACTGACATATAGCTACAGAAAAACATGCATTATGGTTTGTATTGAGAATGTTAGTAAAGAAGTAGGTTAATCAAAGAGAACAAGATGGTACCATAGCCATTATGCAACAGCGATAATAATACAATAATTTAATGTAGTAATTGAGTAGATATTAACTGGCAGTATGAAACATAGACAATATCAATGATTAATTTTAGAAAATTAAGATACTATAATTACACTGAATGATCCCAAGAAATATATATATAGTATATGGACTTATGGATGGTTTATAAATGAAACATAACTACGATTTAACTAAATCAAATTTGATATGAGTCACATGATTTGCTATAGCTAAGTGAGTTAGCTAAATCCAGTTCAACTCTTAATAAACTAAAAGTTGCAAGTTCAAATATGTTCTTTAACTTCAGGTAAACCATTATGTAACCAGTATGTGTTAGGATCAGTCACACCTATATAACGAATATAATCTTAATACATTGCAAATATATGTCATTACCTGTACTTGTAATATTAGGTTTGGTTTCTTCATGAGTCACACATATGTGTTCACATTCTTCATTTGAGCTAAACCGATTACCATTTCCTTGACAACCTCCAAAAGCGAACTGTTCACATCTTCCCTCTGATTTCTCATAATAATATTTAACAAAATACCCCCTGCATGGACCCGAATCCTTTTCCATATTACACACATCTAAAATTTAAACATTAGTCGTTTTGTGCATTAGCAAACCTCTTTTTACTAAAGCAATTATTTAGTTATTTTATTTGAATGTTTTTCAAAAACACCGTTCTAGTTGTATACGAAAAGTTGCATATGATTAAAGATTAATTAACTCAGATAATATTAAATACCTTGACCCCTGAAACTTCCACATTGCCTCTCACATTGTTCCTCACTATTGAATCTGTTATCGTTGCCACCACAACCTGTGTAAGTGAATGGAGTACATTTTCTTGTGTTGGTGTCGAAGAAAAATGCCACATAATTTTCTGTACAGTTCCCAGGATCAGGAAGTTGATAACACATGGCTATGTCTGTTGGTGGAGCTGAATTCGTGATAAGCTTTTAGTTGGAGAATAAGGTAATCCCTCTTAAATCTTACCTGGTGGAGCTTGAGTAGAAACAACTTGGGAAGGAGGAGCTTTTCTACATCTTTGCTCACATGATGACTGATCTTGGAACCTGTTATAGTTACCACCACAACCACCAAAGGTAAACGGTAAACACGAGTCATTGAAGGAATCGTAGTAGTACTGAGTATATTCTCCATTGCAAGGCCCGACAACTGGGGGTAATGTGCAGAGATCTAAAAAATATTGTATTAAAATTTTATTGAAAACTAACAGAAAGAAGCCTTAAATTGCAAACCATTGTTTCTGAGTGTTTTGTTTGTAACAAAAAATGACAAGTGAATGAAAAGTTGAAATAGATTATTTTTATGAATTTATCACCTTGGGAAGTTCCACAATACTGAAGACATTCTTCAACAGAGATAAAATTATTTCTATTGCCATGGCAACCACCAAATGTGAAGCTCTTGCAAACTCCATCAGATCTGTCATAATAATACCTAACAGTTCCATTCCTGCATGGTCCAGGATCGCTGGGTAGGAAACACATATCTAAAATATATATACAATTTAAAATCCTTTTTAATATTGATTTTTAATTACAGACCTGTTCTAAATGCTTCAGTAACTGTTTGGGGGGATTCTGATGGATGAGGTTGGCTCGTTGGTTCTTGAGATTTATTATAATCCTGTTCACATCTTGCTTGGCATCTCTGTTGTGTTTCAAAATTGTTTTCATTTCCACCACAACCACCATAGTAAAACTGTTGACAGGCTTTTTGCTTTGTATCGTAGTACCACCGATCAACGTAATTACCACATTCCCCGGTTTCGGCAGGCAAGTGGCATGTATCTTTAACTAAATATTAAAAATAGAAATTAATATGTAACGTCAAATAAATAATATTATATTAATTTAGGACAAAATGGAAGAAATGCAGACTCTCACCATTGTATAGTGTTTAATTGGTGCATATTTATTGTTTGCATAAATTACATGCAGTCAGAGGCAAATAATTTAAAAATTTGTATGTATGTATATATACAACATAACTCACCAATATCCATAGGACAATCATTTTCACATGCTTCTTTACTGTCGAAATTATTTTGATTGCCATTACAGCCAGAATAGTAAAAAGGTACACAGCGTTTTTCAGGAGTATCGTAATACCATCTAGATAGTTTTTCCGTGCAATTGCCCTGAGCTCTTGGTAACGAACAATGATCTAATAGGTATAAGCAGTTGGGTTAATTCTAGTTTTACCATTATCAAGCGGAATATTATATTTGTTACACAAAGTGGCATGCATAATAATTAATCATCATCAATGTCGAACACATTCAATCAAAAGAAATATTTTTATTTTATAATGAAAGAGCTACATAACTCATGCATTAAAAGTTCAAATGATTTTACCATACCCTTCTTTCGACCTGGAGCAGCACATTTTTGACTACAGGCTTCAATTGTTGGGAAGTTATTGTTGTTTCCTTTACAGCCTCCATAAATAAAAGGCTGACACTGGTCACTTTCATCATGGTAATAGTAACGTTGATATTGTCCTCTGCAAGGTCCTTCCTCTTTTGGCTGCTCACAGGCATCTATTTCATAATGTATATATTTAAATGTCTTTTCCCTATACATTTCATGTACCTACCTACACTGCTATCTTTAACACAGAGACCCATACACTCTTCTCTGGTTTCAAATTTGTTATTATTGCCAAGGCATCCGCCATAGATGAATTGAGCACAGTTTTTAGCGTCTTTATCATAGTACCATTGAGGGTAATAGCCTTCACATGGCCCAGCTACTTTTGGTAAATTGCATCTATCTAAATAATCATAAATTTAATTTATTGGTAATTTTTCCAAAATTACGTTTGTGTAGTATTTACCTGGGCCCTGAGGTATTACACAGACTTGATCACACTCTTCTTTTGTCTTATAGCGATTGCCATTACCATCACAACCACCATACCAAAATCTGGAACATCCACCATAGTCCATATCAAAGAACCATTTAACTGTATAATTCCTACATGTCCCTCTTTCCTTAGGAAGAGAACAACTGGCTGAAAGTTTTAAAAGTAATTATATATTTTTTTCAGAGAAGATAAATGGAGTAAAGAAATACCTTGTAAATTTTCAGGAGCAGTTTCGCAGCCTTCAAAATTTTCTCCTTTGGCTTCAGTAACTCCGTCAACACAACATCCAAATTTAGATGACACACAACCACATCCTTCCTTGTTCGGACCAAAAGCAGGTGTCTGTTCATCAGAACAACAGCCAAATTCTGTATTTCGACACCCACAACCTATTGAAATAAAAAATTTTAAAAATATATTCCATAAGTACTTAGAATATCATAAAGGTTCTGTAGCATTTTTAAGATATAGAGAAATTAAGAGAAAAGGACATGTCACGTTAACTTTACACATTATTGCAAAAAAATGCTTACCTTTTAGCTTCATATAAAGCGGAAACTATAACAATCATGTTTTTATGAGTTATACAGTACATTGTTAAGAGTCATACCTTGTTGGTGTGGACCTCTCGCTGCAGTAATTCCATCTGGGCAGCAACCAAATTGGAATGTGTGACAAAGACAGCCTTCGTAATTTGGTCCATTTGCTGGCGTGAAACTATCAGGGCAACAACCATATGTAGTATATTGGCAGCCACATCCTTCATCGTTGTAGCCTCTTGCAGATGTAGAATTATCTGGACAGCAACCATAAGGTGAATATTGGCATCCACATCCATCCAAATTTGGCCCCCTTGCAGGTACAACATTGTCGGGGCAACAGCCAAAAGCAGAAATTAAACAGCAACCTTCTCCACTTGGACCATGAGCTGAAGTAGTACCATCTTGACAGCATCCAAATGTACTGTTGGAGCATGGTAAATTGCAACCTCGATAACCAGGGCCTTCGGCAGCCGTAACACCATCAGGACAGCATCTGTAAGTTGTATTTTTACAGTCTTCTTTGATTTCCATTTCCTTAGTAGGCTCAGTTGATTCTGTTATTTCTGGAGTTTCAGATGTCTCTGTCTCTTCTGGTTCTTCTTCAATGCAACCTTTATGTTTTGGCCCTTTAGCTTCAGTAACATTATCATCACAACAACCGAATTTGGATTTTAAACATTCGGGTGGGGGTTGCGGACATCCTTCATTATTATTGCCTTGTGATGCCGTTTTATTGTCACGGCAACATCCAAATAGTGTTTCATTGCAGTGTGCAGTTGGGCAACCGGCATATTTAGTTCCAAGAGCGGCAGAAATGCCATCTTCACAGCATCCAAATTTAGATTCTTTACAAGTTCTTGGAGTAGGACAGCCTTTATCGAATGGCCCCTCAGCTGGTGTAATATTATCCCAACAACAACCATACTGTGTTTTTTTACATGCTTTTATTTTCCTTCTCTTACACATTTTAGGCCTACTCTTAAATATCTCAATTATTGGGGTTGTTGACTCTATTTCATAGGTAGTTGTTTCAGTACCCTCTGTTTCTGTTGTAATTCCAAATATGTCAGTGTCAGTAACGGCACCAGTTGTCTGACTAGTAAATTCTATTGTTGATTCGGTTGAATCAGTTGCTACAGATTCAGCAATTTCAGTAGTACTATAGGTTTGCCCTACTGAAACAGATGATTCAGTGGTAATTTCTGAACTGCCACTTAATTCGGAAGTACTACTTGTAAACTGAGTGGTAGCCTCTGTACTACCATCTTCTATTGTAGCACTTGTACTAATATCTGTAACATATCCAGTTGTAATTTCCGAACTGCTCTCTAGTCTAAAGGTACTACTTGTAAATTCAACTGTGGCCTCTGTACTTCCAATTTCCGAGGTACCACCTGTACTTCCACTTTCTGTTGGATCACTAAAGATAGTTGTTTTACCATCAGTACTTTCACTAGATTCTGTACTGGTAATTTCCGTTATAGCTACAGTACTTTCGGGGGATTCAGAACTGCCTGTAATTGCACTCGATGTCGTAAATTCAGTTGTATCTTCATCAGTTAAAGTTGTATCAGTACCTGATGAGGCAGTTGTTGGTTTTCTTGCCCCTAAATCAGATTCTCCTATGAAAAATATGGTACTTGTTTCATCTGTGCTGTATTCAGAACTGATTATACTCTCTGAAGTAGATGCTGATATTTCTGTAGTTACATCAGAAATATCTGTACTTTCAGTATTTAAGCTTGATTCTGATGTTTCAGTTAGATATGTAGTTTCAGTTGTATCAGTATTATCTGTTGAAACTGAACTTTCAGTGCTGTCAGTACTTTCAGTAGTTTCAGTGCTATCAGTGCTACCTTCAGTAGTTTCAGTACTATCAGTACTACTTTCAGTAGTTTCGGTACTATCCGTACTACTTTCAGTAATTTCAGTGCTATCAGTACTTTCAGTAACTGATGACTCTGTGGTATCACTTGTACCACTTTCTGTAATTTCTGTATTAACTGTATTATCAGTACTAACAGAATTATCGCTTACGCTGGTACTGCTTATTGTTGCATCAGAGCTAATGGTTGTAAAGTCAGAAGAGACACTTTCTGTTGTGTCATCAGATTTTGAACTCCCTAAGCTCTCTGTGGTTACATCAACATCAATGGTATTAGTTGTTATATCAGAAGAAGATACTGTCTCTGTACTCTCAGAACTAGAAAATTGTGTAGTAGATAAAATCTCCGTGCTTCCAGAAATTATACTTTCAGTTGTGAAACTTGAAGCTTCAGATATATTGGTAGTATCTGATTCACTAGATGTTATGCTAGTAAGACTTTCACCGGTAGTAACAGAGATTTCTGTACTGCCAGAAATTTCAGAAGTGGCAGTACTTTCAGGAGTGAATTGACTCGATTGTCCTATAGCTTCAGTAGTAATTTCAGTATCTGTACCAATAACAATGGTTGATCCTGTGCCAGAACCTTCCTCATCAGTACTGTCTGACAGTCCGGTACTCTTCATTAATGTACTTATTTCTGTAGCTGAGCTTGTAATTTCGCTTTCTCCAGATCCTGTTTCTAAGCTGAAGCTTGCTGTACTTTCACCATCTCCTGTAATAGTTGTGCCATCACTGAGCATAAGGTCATCAAGTGAGAATGGAGGTTCTGTTCCAATAGTTTCTTTTGAAAGTTCTAATTTCGATGAGATGGAAGATTCTGTTCTAACACTTTCTTTTGAAACTTGTAATTTCTCTAGTTTTTCCTATAATATATAATATTTTTTAATGAACTGAGATTGTCATTTAACAGTATGTCATAGAGCATGTAAGATTTATACTTGCCAATGGTTCATCAGACATAACCCATTCCCCATCATCACAAGTAGTATCTGGAACAATTTCATACTCATCATTATCATCTTCAGGTAAGGTAGTGATCATATCGCTTTGTTCGGTAGTTACATCAAATAGTTCATCAGTTGCCGATGTTGGTTCAGATTCTTTTGTACTTTCAGATGTAACAGTTGCCTTCAGTTTTTCCGTTTCAGATTCATCAACGGACTGGGTAATGTCGGTGGGCATTATGGTATCTAAAAATGAGTTTAAGTACAAAAATAATTTAATTGGTATTAAATATATATAATGTACCCTCTGAACAAGGATGTGTATTACACTCTTCGTGAGAGAAAACTATTCTATCTGATCCACAAATGCTTGGATCTACAACTTCATTGTCTTTCAAGCACACAACTTTCTTAGAACGTTCTCCTCCTCCACATGGTTTTGTACACTAAAAGCAAGTTGAACATGCAAGGCAGTGCCTAATTTAATTTAACTGATAAATCACAGAATCCTCAAGATCTGATTAAAGAATGTAAAAAAGGAAATTATTTAGGATTACTTTTCAAAGATATGTAAATATTCAAAACTTTTCTTACAAGTCTTCATTACGTAGTAAGCACTTACTTTTCCCCAAGGACCACTAAACCATTCACCTTCACATTCTTCTTCTTCTCCAACACATTTTTTAATGGTTTCAAAGTCTTTGGACGGATCACATTTCTCATTTTCCACTTTCTTCACACCATCTACTGTTGATACTCCACAAAATATTGTTCTTGTTTGTATTCCCTCTCCACATTGAACTGAACACTATGAATATAAAAGTTGTTATGAAGAAAATATAATAGATGGGTAAATCTTGCGTGTAATATTAACACAAGAAAAGCAAAGAAAAAGTATGGCTAATACAATCTATAGATTTGAAAAAATCATATTTTTTACAATGCCCCTGAACCGAATTCAGTTTTTTTTGTAAATGAATATAAAAATTGGTCACAGAGAGGGTACTGTATATAAATGTGAATTATTTAAAATTAATGGATTGATGATAAATCTCTGAAAAATTATAGTCACCTCGCTCCATTGAGATGCATACCACAAATATTGACAGGTTGTATTTGAGGTCTCACACTTTCTAACAGTTTCTGGTTTTTGTTCAGCTTCACAAAGATCGTCTGAGTAAATCTGACCACTGGCAGTAGCGCAATGCACTTTCCTTGTCTCATTTGTCAGTCCACAAATTCTGTCGCACTGAAAATAGATATAGATAATTCTTTCCCATATGTCGTTCAGGCGCGGATGGGCGATGGGGACGATCGCCCCCCCCCCAAATGTCACGAAAAAAGAAAAAAATAATAAAATATCGAACACAATAGATTAATAAAGATTAATTTTTTTTAAACATTTCAGTTTCCTTGACTGCATAACCTTTTAGTTCTCTTGATTGTATATATATTTTTTTTAGTCATTAATTGTACAAACGCCCCCTCCCTAATCTATCTCAGGATCCACCACTGTCATTAATTGTAAACTTCCAGTTATTAGGAATGTTCATTATTTTAAAATAGTCTGGATCCGCCCCTGTATAATATTTTATAATTAAAGGGTAAATATTTTTTCTAGTACTTAAAACAATTAAGTTTAACTCTTACCCCACTCCATTCTGATGTAATCCAATCTACGCCCTCGCAAGGACGAACATTACATTTCCTTTCTTCTTCTGGCTTAGGTTCGATCACCTCACATTCTGAATCTTCCAGCACTTCAATTTTACCATCTTCATGTTTTACGAAACAGGTTATTTTCCTTGACTGTTTACCATCTCCACAAAGGTGATCACACTATAATTGAAACAAAAAATGGAAATTTTAGAAATATGTACTATTTTAGTAATTAATAACTCTCTAAAATAAAAATATAAGATACTTTCCCAAATACCAATGACAAAAAAAACATACTTGACATATTGAAATAGTTAAATTATGGTTTGCAAATTTTCAAAGCAAATATATTCTATCACATTACTAACAGCTAAAATATCGATTTGGATAAAGATCAGCACCTAATTCAGTCATCATTTCTCCATTTCTGAATTATTTCTGCATTTTGAGATGTCGTCATGACATCTTTGTCCAAAATGGTGTTATTGTTATTGGAAACAAAAAATAGGGGGTACCCTACCTTAATTATATTAATTATCAAATGTATGTTTTCCATTAATACTATTTGTATATTTTTTACTTTAATCTTTACTTTGATAATTATTATTAATCACTATATTATTTTTACTGCCTTTAGCATCCCTCTAAATATACAGGGTATTTGTAAATAAGTGCAAAATATTTTAGGGGTGGTTGCCGAAGTTATTTTGTGAAAAAAAGTTCAAATAAACGTAGGTCGAAATATGTTCCATTTCAGAGAAATTTAAACACTGTTTAAATTTTAATTTTTCATTTTAATTTTATTAATTAGAATTTTAAAGATTGACTCGAAATTTGATGGTTGTATTTTATTTAGAAATATTGGTCGTATTTTATTTAGAAATATTGACAGCAACCTACTAGAATATAATGTATCAATAGAAATTGAAATTACACAACTTGGAGTAAAATACGTTTTATTTTTTACCTCAAAAAAACGGCGGATTTCTAAAAAAAATATCAAAACGGGAAAAGTCAATGGTGTACGACTTTTTTTATTAAAAAAAGTTTGTGGTATTCTCGCACGAACGTCACTGGTGCAAGTAGAAATATTCGGATCATATAAAATGCGCATTTATCCCTCCAAACCATTTTTCAAATTTCGAATCAATATCTTTAAAACTTTTTGAAATAATTAACAAAAATAAATAAAAATTATAATTTAAACACTCTGTATCTCAGAAACGAAGCATATTTCGACCTACGTTTATATGAACTTTTTTTCACTAAATAACTACAGCAACCACCCCCTAAAATATTTTACACTTATTTACAAACACCCTGTATGATATCGTTTAATGAGAATTTTATGAAAATATCTGCAATCAATTCAAACTGGCCTAGTATCTTTAAAGTAAGCTAAAAGCAGAAGAGTTATTAATAATAAAAAATGTATAATTAAAAATAAATAAAATAAAATAAAATACTTACTGGTTTCCAAGGTTCACTATACCATTGGGCACAAATTTTTCCTTCATTGCACTTTTGCTGAGTTGGCGGTTTTGGATGAAGTTTCAAACATTCAGAATCATCCACTAGTACGGGATAACCGTTTCCTGAAATTTGCTGACACGATATCTCTCTGGTTTGTAAACCACCTTCTCCACAAGGTGCTGAACATTTCCCCCAAGGATAAGGTGTCCACTGAGCTTCACAAGGGATTTCATTGCATTTCTTCTTAGCCTCTGGTTCATTATCTTCATTGCAAAGTTTACTGTCAACTGGGTCAAGTGTTTTTCGACCGGCACAAGTCACGTTCCTAAACTGATATCCTACAGAAAGGATTAGTTGATTAACTTGATTTACTTTAGGTAAGATTTGCTAACCTCCTCCACATGTTTTAGAACACGGCGTGAATTCATCAAAGGTCCATGCATATGTCTCTTCTGATCCTGTCACAACATTTGTTGGTAAACTGTATGTATACTGAACCGGTACATCAGAATCTTGGTAAAGCAACTGAAATAATTTAACTTGAATCACTAATATTCCTGATTTGAGGCTAAACTGATGCTCGATGTTACTACTTAGTCCAATTAACTAAGCCTTTAAATCGAAATTTTGTCAACTTGGCTGAATTTTTGATATGAGTTAGTTTAAGGTATATTATAACAATAAGTGAGAGTAATTTTTTGTTCAACCCCCGGCCAAGGGTGGAAAAAGATAAAACAAAGGGCTTTTTCAAAATAACTCAAAAAGGGTAAGAGCTAGAAAAAAAAGTTTTTCATGAAAGTAAAGCAGACAATTCTACATAAAAATGGTCTCTTAGCTTTTTCTTGTACTATTAAAATTAACAGAGTTAGGGAGGCTAGAAGTTAAGGGAAGATTTCAGAAATTTAATTTTGTTAAATCATTAAAATTAACGATTAAAAATTTAATTTTTTGTTATAACTTTCTTATTAAAAATTAAAAAATATATCTATTTCTCTGAAAAGAAAAGTTACATATTTTAGAGCAGATTGAAAAAAAAAATTACAAAATTCAATCATTTTTCTGTTTGTTATGATTTTTTTTAAATTTCTGAAATCTTCCCTTAACTTCTAGCCTCCCTAACTCTGTTAATTGTAATAGTACAAGAAAAAGTTAAGTGGCCATTTTTATGTAGAATTGTCTGCTTTACAACTTTCATGAAAAACTTTTTTTTCTAGCTCTTACCCTTTTTGAGTTATCTTGAAAAAGCCCTTTGTTTTATCTTTTTCCACCCTTGGCCGGGGGTTGAACAAAAAATTACTCTCACTTATTGTTATAATATACCTTAAACTAACTCATATCAAAAATTCAGCCAAGTTGGCAAAATTTCGATTTAAAGGCTTAGTTAATTGGACTATACTGCTGTTGGAGAAAATTTACTTTTTGGGACGGGATATGAAAAAGAGAATTAGATGAATGTGGGGACCTTGGAAATTATAAGAGATAGAAAAATGGTTAAATTGGAAAAATTTTTAATCAGTTTGTTACTAATCTTAATGATGCTCACAGACCAGTTCTAGATATTCGGATTTTCGAGATGTTTTGAAAAAAATAGAGAGAGAGAGAGGGAGATTTTGAAAACAAATTCACTGTGGATTGTGTGGAGAATTTGTTTCAACTTTGTGGTTTTAGAAACCATCATCATTTTAATTGAAACTTTATATTTTTTCGGCACATTATTGATTTTTTGCACACTTATGATATAGGTAGGTACTGTTGAAAAGTTTAAAAAAATGCTCCTATCAATTAACATAAAATTCAATATGGCACTCATAAGAAAAAGTGAAGTTGAAAAGGAAATGATGGTTTCTCAAAACGGCAATCTCTATAGAGAAATGTATTTGCAAAAATTGCCATAACAAAGTTTTTACAGATTAAAGAAAAAATCTCCAAAATAAAGATATTAGGTCTGATTTTCATAAAAATATCCTGAAAACCTGAACAGTTAGTCGCAGAAGGGTCTAAAACTGTTTTCATTTAACAATTTTTCTACCTATCTATTGTAAGTTCTAAAATTCCAATTCCATCACTAATATTGGTCGATACACATATTGAATTGTTAATAATTTAGATTATTAACAACAAAAACATCATTTAGTAAAGTCTTACCACAATGAATAAAGCTTCATATGTAGGACCCAACGAGATAATTATATCCGGAGCCGAAAATCCTTGAGGTGACCTATCATAGTGGAACTTAGTTCCAGCAAAGTCCATTGTTCTGGGAAAGTCTATTCTCCAGTTTCCATTTAGATAATAATGACCAGTGGAATTCCGTATGGCTATAAAATAAATGATGCAATGCATAATATTTTTAAATTGAAAAGTATATTTCTACCTAATTTCAGATTTCAGTGTTGTTACAATACATTTTCAAAACTACGCATTTTAATTAATTCTGTTGATCAGTTTGACATTATTTTTAAAAACAGTTTAGAGGGAAAGTGGTGTTTTCGTCAGATACGATTCTGATCAGTCATAGAATCTGAATTCCACTTTAAATAAATATGGAAAATTTTAGGAATAACTTGAAAATTTGTACTTAGTTATCTTAGGTGAAATTACTAGAAAGAACAAAATGCTATTTTCTTTCACCACTGCCCATATAGAATCCAATTATAGGACCGGAAAAGACAAATATTAAAAACAACAGTACATACATATACAGGGTGTCCGGTAAGTACCTCCTAATCTCTCGGGAGTGTATAGGGGAGGTCAAAATAAAACTAGTCCTTCCTATAATTTTTTTTCCTAATGTGCCCCCTAACGGAGTTATGGGGGGTCAAAGGGGTACCTAGAAATTAACGTTTAGGGTTATAACTTTGAAACCACCCTGTATATTTTAATAAAATTTTCGTACGTTGTATTACACATGGAGCTCTACGATTTGATGCTAAAATCAACTTTTTGCTATTATCAGGTGTCCAGAAACGGACTGGCCCTATCACAATTTTTCTCAAAATTTTGACAGAAGTAATTTTATCAAACTGAAAATATTATTATTAGATACTCTGAAGGTTTTTCTTTAAAAATGGTACTCTTTATTTATTTCGAAAAAATGAACGGTTTGCGAGATAAATCGGTTTTGAAAAAAATTGGTAACAAATACAACAACAATTAAAATTTATTTTTTTACAATAAAATCATTCCCGCTAGTGCCAGCCTACAGATTCACCATAAACATTTACTGGTGGTGAATTAAGGGAATGAATAATGCCGTTTCTTGTAAAATCAACATCTATGACCAAAATACATCTACAAATTATTATTGCTCTTGTCTCCATGGAGTTCTTTTCTATTGTTTTCGTTGTTAGACCCTGTTGATTTTAAAGTACTTGTCAAAGGCGCGTGACAGAATAAAAATTCAATTTTATTGTGGTATTCGTTTTAAGCCGTTAGAAATAACATTTAAAAATGGAAGAATATTCCTGTGCAGAATATGCTGATATGCACCTAATTTATGGGGAAGCATTATGCAACTCCGTGGAGGCAAGAAGACTTTATGAGGAAAGGTTTCCGGGTCGACATTTGCCGAGTCCAAAAACTTTTGAAAGAGTTGATCGTAGTTTAAGAGAAACAGGTAAAAAAAAATAGTGAAAAACGTTAGTGAAACTAATTTCTTCCGAATCCTTTATTTAGGAAGCTTTTTGCCACGCCGTGGTGGAGCAGGAGCCCCGAGGAGAGTACGAGACCCTCATGTAGAGGAACAAATATTGGAAGACGTTGCTAATAATCCTTCAAATAGCATAAGGAAGCTTGCGGCGCAAAACAATGTTACAAAATGGGCTGTACATGAAACTCTGAAAGAACAATTGCTTTACCCGTACCACATCCAAAAAGTACATGCTATGTCTCCAGATGATTATCCAAAAAGACTTCAATACGCCAATTGGTTTTTACAGCATCATATTCGGAATCATAATTTTGGTACATCTATTTTGTTCACCGATGAAGCAGGTTTTACAAGAGACGGCATAATTAATTCGCATAATCTACATGTCTGGGATGAAGAAAACCCTCACGCTTTAGTTCAAACTCGCTACCAACAAAGGTTTATGGTGAATGTGTGGGCTGGCATTATCGGGAATCATTTGATTGGTCCATTTATTCTGGAGCAAAGACTTAATGGTGCTCTTTATTTGCAATTTTTAGAGGAAAATCTAAATATTTTGTTAGAAGAAGTGCCCCTTCAAATAAGAACTGAAATGTGGTACATGCATGACGGTGCACCACCCCACTTTGATCGTTTAGTACGTCAACATCTGACGAATGTTTTTGGTGATCGATGGATAGGTCGAGGCGGACCTGTATTATGGCCACCTAGGTCGCCCGACCTAAACCCATTAGACTTTTTTCTGTGGGGTCATTTAAAAAATAACGTTTATTCAACACCCGTAAATAGTAGAGAGGAACTTCTGCTGAGGCTAACACAGAACTGTGACCATCTCCGCAATAATCACGGAATATTATTTCAAGTGCACCGGGAAAACATTCGTAGGATTAGAAAGTGCATTGAAGTACGGGGTGCTCATTTTGAACATCTACCGAAGTAACATTTAGGTACCTTTGTTCATTGTTGAATGTTCTTTGTTGCATGTCTTGTAAGTAAGTTATTTTTCAAATGTTATTTTTAATTGGTCACTACTTGCTCATAAAGTATAGCCAACCCGTTCAAAGATTTCTGGACTTGATAAAGTTAAAGAAATTAAATGCATGAAATAATATGTAAAAAAAATAAATTTTAATTGTTGTTGTATTTGTTACCAATTTTTTTCAAAACCGATTTATCTCGCAAACCGTTCATTTTTTCGAAATAAATAAAGAGTACCATTTTTAAAGAAAAACCTTCAGAGTATCTAATAATAATATTTTCAGTTTGATAAAATTACTTCTGTCAAAATTTTGAGAAAAATTGTGATAGGGCCAGTCCGTTTCTGGACACCTGATAATAGCAAAAAGTTGATTTTAGCATCAAATCGTAGAGCTCCATGTGTAATACAACGTACGAAAATTTTATTAAAATATACAGGGTGGTTTCAAAGTTATAACCCTAAACGTTAATTTCTAGGTACCCCTTTGACCCCCCATAACTCCGTTAGGGGGCACATTAGGAAAAAAAATTATAGGAAGGACTAGTTTTATTTTGACCTCCCCTATACACTCCCGAGAGATTAGGAGGTACTTACCGGACACCCTGTATACACAAAATCAAATGTAAAATGTTTACATACATATTGTAAGCGGCGCTTTTTTTTCTTTTTAGTCAATCAATGAATATGCTTCACCTATTTTCAATGTCGCGAGCCGCCACTGGTAAACTGTGGTTGAGGCCTGTTACCATTCTTTAAATGGCATTAATGTAAGGACTCCAAAAATCTCAAGTGTATTTGATCTTGAATCTTACAAAATTGTTGTACAAGACTGCGTGTGCCCTTAAAATGGATGAATGTTACAAATTATAAATCCAGTTCTTTTAGCTTTAGACACCATGTTATCAATATGATTAGCAAACGATAATTTAGCTGGAAAAATAACCCCATGATCTTTATATTGGGTTAGAGAAGTGAGTTTCTGGTCATTTAAACATAAGTCTAATAGGAAGCAGTTTTTTTAGTAAATATCATTGTAAATATCAATATCATCATCATCAATATCATGTAAATATCAATATTTATCAAGATTCATAAACAGATTATTGTGCATACACCATTGATTTAATCATTTCGATGTCACACTGCAACGAAATACAGTCATCATGAGATTCAGTTGTAAATAATTTTAAGTTATCAGCATACAGCATTGATCGACAAGAAAAGTCGTGTGTGATATCATTAATAAAAATATTGAACCGAAGGTGACACAGCTGATCCCATTTTTTTTAATAATGTATAAAAAGGTTACTCACCTAGGTAATTGTTTGAGGGAGCCACTTCTTCAACTCTAATGTTAGTAGCACCAGGAGGAATCAAAATTATGTCATTGTAACCTAAAAAAATTTAAACCTAATTTATCAGTTTTCTATACAAAATAACGCAATTAATAAAATTAAATCTAAATTATTTTCTACTACATTTATGATTTTCTACTTTTTAATAATAACTTAACAGAAGAAGAATAGAGTGGGATTGTTAAACACTTTAGTAAAATTTTTTGGAAAATTATTACTACCTATTATAGTGACAACGTATTTCAGAAATCTCATTTCTAATAAGTAGCTAGTGTATGTAATAAGGTCTTACCAACTTGCATGTCTTTCATCGGTATCGTGTTTTGTATGGTGTTGCAAGAGCTTCCATTGCCTCCACATATTCGACATAAATCTTCTCTGGCATTAGACCCCAACATCATATCACACCCAACGGGCTACAACAATATTCCAAAATCAAGTTTATTTTGGTCTAAACTGGTGCCAATTTAGGTGTTGTTTATATGCCGCAGGTATTAGATTTTTTAAAATGTTTATACTTATACAGGGTTGTCCGGGAGATAATGAATAACCTTTTAACCGTGAATGGGGAACCCTAAGGTCGTTCAGAAAATCGACTTTTGTCTTAGTACAAAGTCCCTTCGTTTATTTCGGTTTTTTTTCAAAATTTCCGCTATAGGTTACTTTATTGGTCACTACGGCCACAAGAGAACGTATGAACGTATTAGGTACCTATATTTCAGTTATTTTGCGTAATATTCTTGAATTGTGTTATTATCAGATGCTTATCAGAATTTTTAACTAGCAATAGTAGCTCTTGTTTAAAAAAATCTTAAACTTATATTTTACGTTAGTCAGCGAAGTTATAAACGAAAGCTCCGAAGGGCATTCATAAGAAGGTGCAGAGCCTGCATCAGGGAAGGCGGCAGACAATTTGAACATTTACTGTAATTTTTAAATAAAATTAAATAATAACTGAAAGATAATATGTTCTCTTGTGACTAATAAAGTAACCTATGGCGGAAATTTCGAAAAAAAACGGAATAACTGAAAAATGAAGGGACTTTGTACTAAGACTAAAGTCGATTTTCTGAATGACCTTAGGTCCATCCACGGTTAAAAGGTTATCCATTATTTACTGGACACCCGATATAGTATGTACATATTCATGTTTACTCATCAAAACTTGTCAGTAGCTGCCTAGGCATTGACGAGTAAACAGAGTGTGAATGTGCGAGTATGGAATCACTTACAAAGTCTCCAATTCGCGCGATAATTTATTATCATTTTTGTCGTGAGCTGTCTCATCAACAGTGCCACGAAGAAATGAAACGTTTATTGGGTGACATTACCCCATCCCTCAGGACTGGCAAATGCTAGTATAAACAGTGTGAAAGAGATATTTTTGAATTAGAGGACGATTCACGTCCAGCCCCGCCGAGCGAAGTGACTACACCTAAAACAATAGCCGCTGTTCAAAAACTAATTTGCGAAGACCATCGAATCACATATAAACAGATCCAGGAAACCCTTAACATTTCTGCATGGACCATATATAAAATTTTAAATGAACATCTGGAAGTACACAAAGTTTGTACAGCTTTTGTACCACACAAATTAACTGACGAGGAAAGGGAGCATCGTGTGAAATGGTGCGAAAGGATGCTCACAAAGTTTAAATCCGGACGATTTTCTGAAATATCTTCAATAATTGTTACAGGAGACGAGATTTATTATTATGATATACCAACAAAATCACAGTTGCATATGGATGTTTGAAGGTGAAGACTATTTGAATATGCCTAAGCGGTCACGTTCAGTCAAGAAAAAAATGAACGTGATTTTTCTGGGTTGTCGTGTTTGCTCCCGCTTCTCAGCACGCTTCAAGAATTGCGACCAAAGTGCCAACTGCGCTCTTGGCTGTTGCATCATGACAATGCACCAGCTCATCGCACCCAGCGAACCATAGATTTTCTGAAGTTTTCTGGTATTGGACTGTTAGATCACCCTCCTCACAGTCCCGATCTAGCGTCCTGTCACTTCGCACTCTCCCCGTACGTGAAAAATCAATTAAAAGGACACAAGATTTCTTCAGATGACGAGATTTTAGCTGTATGGGACGAATGTTGCGCTTCCATCTCAGAAGAGAAATGGAATTACTGGCTTGATGGCTGGTTTGAGCATATGCATAAGTGTGTAACATGTGACGGTATATACTTCGAAAAACAGTAATATTTTATAGTGGAACGACAAGACTTACCGAGCGACCTACGTAAAATGCAACATTGCAAATAAAAAATTTTTCCAGGCTAATTTTGAACTTTTTCTATTGCTATTCTCATTACCTACGAAATATCTACACAGTAATTCCTACGTCNTTCGAGTAAGCTGTATACAAGTATACTCTCGTACACTTGTACTTGTACTTGTACTTGTTGAATTATTTAATGTAATATTATTACTTAATATTACAAATAATCTCCAGTTTGCATTTAAGGTATTTATATTCGTTTTCTTTTATGCTAAACCTGTAAATGTATGAGTTTAATATTTATATATGAATATGATCCATTTTTGAAATAATTAATGAATAAATAGGGGACGTTGATTTCGATTTTGTAATTTTGTATTTAAAATCAGTGTTTTTTTTTAAGAAGACTAAGAACTCGATGAGATTTAAAAATTAATTATAATTGTAATAAATTTGTTTTTTAATAAATAAAACATATTTTCAATAAAACCTCTTTAGCCATTTATAATTTTCATTTTTCGAACCTCTATATTACAGATATGAGCGAGTTTGATTTAATATCGATAATTGTAAAATAAATTGTTTAAAATAGTCGGCCATATTGGATCAGCCATTTTGAATTTCATTTTCCGACATCATATTCTTTTTTAGCGACCTCAAAAATCCCTATATTACAAATATAAGCGAGTTTGATTTAAAATCGATAATTGTTAAATAAATTGTTTAAAACAGGCGGCCATATTGGATTAGCCATTTTGAATTTTCATTTTCCGACTTCATATTCTAGTTCAGCGACATCTAAAACCCCTATATTGTCAAATCGATTTAAAATTCATTGAATTATTTTAAATGTTCTTAAAAAAACTATTTATTATTGTTTAAACAATTAAAAAACAGTTAGCGTACAAAAATAAGTTTATAACTTTTTTCTAATACTCATCTCCAAGTGCTTTCAAAAGGTTTTAGGAAAATCCATGTTTCCCATAATTATTTCGAAATAATGCGTAATTTTAAGCTATTTTGACTCCACTATTATAAACATTTTGTTTTATCTACTTTTATATTTAGTTTTATTTTATTACAAATATACAAGGTGTTTCCGAAATAAGTGCGTTCCGTCAAAGGGATAAGAGAACAAATTTTCTTATGAACATGGGTCGTAGTCACAATTTTTTAAATATCTCTGAGGATGTGCGATGCAGACTGATGAAACTTGGGCCACTAATTTATGTAAGTGGAAGTAAAAACCCGTTATGTTGACTTACGTATAAGTTAACCCGTGGCAGAGAAACGAGGGGTCAGTAGCACTAGGTGCCTCAGAACTGCAAATTCGATTAATGCTTTTAATTATTATCAATGGAGTTTCTAAGAAAAAATATGCCTTACAGTCTGTTCGAAGGACGAGTCGTTTTAGATATATATGATATATTTTTTTATATTAAAGTGAGCTTACGACACAGTTAAGTAAATTGAAAATAACTCGAGCTATTCGTTCCATAAAAACAGTTTATGGGATTTTTTTGTTATAAATACAATTTTAATTGCAACGCAGTGTGTCAAATTTAAGAAGAATCTAATAAGAATATTAAAAAAAGCTAATATATTATTTGGTATTTTTATGGAAGATGTTCCCTTAGACAATTGTAATTTCTACGCCAATGATATTTTGAACTTTTGACGTTGTATTTATAATTGTATTTCAAAAAATTCTCATCTCAGTTTTAGAGTTATGCATATCGATTCACTTAACTGTGTTCTAAACTCACTTTAATATATAAAAAATAAAACGGCTCGTTTAGTAATTCAATTAGTAATATCGGGTGTTCCAAAATCATTATGAGGCTCATTGTCATCTTGATGGCTTCGTTAATCGACAAAACTGTCGCATTTGAGGTTCTGAAAATCCAAGAGTGATTGCTGAGAAACCAACGCATCTAAAACGTGTCACTGTTTGGTGCGGATTTTGGGTTAGAGGCATCATCGGACCATTCTTCTTCGACAATGCGGCTGGTCAGGGAATAGCAGTTAATGGGGATATCTATTGCGTTAATCCAGTTTTTTTGCATCTAAATTGTAAGATATGGGTGTAGACCACATGTGATTTCAATAAGACGGGGCCGCATGCTATATAGCCCGAGAAACAATTCAATTACTGTAGGTCATTTTCTGGTCGTGTAATTTCCCGTTTTGGTGATCAGAATTAACGGCCAAATCATGCAATAAAAAATTTATAATTTTTAATTAGAAACCTGTGTTTTCAATTAACATCTACTTTTTTCGTGAACTTTGGGAAACCTTTAAGATGCCTCGATCCAATTTGTAGAATATTCATTGGCGTCGAAAATATGAGGCTCCTGGGTATTGATCCCTCGTATCTCCAACAATGGCTGACATATTTGTAAGTCATCTTAGCGGAATATTACTTCTACTTAGATAAATCAATGGCATTCTTAGAGATAAGTATATCAGAAAATGTGATATTTTTTGCTAAAAATAATTTGTTCTATTGTCCCTTTGAAGGAACACACTTATTTCAGAAACACGTTGTATATAAAGATTAAGAACGTATTAAAGTTACGTAAAAATATCAAGAAATAAAGTTGTTTTTCAATAACGAATTAATCTCCTCTTTACCTGGCATTTTCCAGAAACGCATACGTCAAGTTTTTCATCATTGCATCTTGTACCATCTACAACTGTCGCTGCATGTCTGAAATAAAACCTTTCTCCCCTTGGCATGCAGTTTAATTCACAAGGATTTGGTGCTCTTGTGTAGGGGACCCACCTACAAAAATATGTGTTGAAATTCGAGATTAATTAATTAATTAATGGATCTACTCACTGATAATAAACTCCCTCAAAAGGTATGTTATCATACTCAGAGCATTGTTGCGCCCTGAAGTCCCCATTGTCCGGACAATCCTGAAAAAGGAAATGATTTCAATGATGAGTTAGAACAGTAACCCACGTCGCGTCGCTGCAACAAATTTCACTTCTAGGTAATATTATTTTATTTTTTAAAGAAAAAATAAACTGAAAATGCATATAATGGAAAACTGTATACAAATTTCTATAAATGTCATTGAAGTACACAAGGTGCGTTCCAAAATACCTAAACAGGACTTTTTAAAAATAGGTAAGACTTTTTTTTGGCAAAACCAATTTATTTTATTCAAAATAGTTCCCTTCCGACTCAATTGCAGGTATAAAAGCATATCGAATGAATGTTTTAGATCGTCGGTCGAGATGTCGGTACAAGCTATTTGGATGGCTTTATAATCCAATCAATCTGTCACGGCCTAATGTTAAATTTACAAAAAATACCACCTGGAAACAAAAAATATGGTGATATAGGAAAAAATTCTAAGAAAGATAGTGTTTTTTCCTGTGGCGCATAAACATATAGTTAACCTAAAAAATTCATAAACGTCAAAAATGGTTTTTCGTTAATAACAAAACACGAACTCCAATCGAAAACAGTTAAATGAGAAAGTTGTAGCTATTAAAAAAAACCTATGGATTCATATTTTTAAATATATCTACTATCGATTGCTATACAGGGTGGGCCACGCCTCGGTCGCTAGGGACCAAACGGCAAATGTTACAGAGACCTGTTTAGGTGAGTATGTGTAGGTTGATTACGGCTACATTTTAAAAATATTTTGAAATATACAGTGTCCAGGAAAAGCGAAATCAAAGTTATGTATTTTTAAATGGAACACCCTGTATTTTACTGCATTTTTGAAAGCACCATAAAAAAATAGGTGAACTTTATTGAACGTTCTGCATACCTAGGACTTACAGTTTGTGAGATATATCAATTTTAGTGAAAATGCAGGCTTAGCGTAGAAATTTAATATTTGCAATACAAAAATAATTTTAAGGAAGCAGCTCTGGAGATCCTTGAAGTCATAAATTATTATATTTGTCGTCACTTAGAATTATACAGGGTGTTTAAAACTTTAAACAGCAATAACTTGGTTATTTCAAATGGGACATGACATCCAGTATATTTTTACTTTGGAAGTTAGGAAATTTAAAACTCTTTCAAACTGTGTATAGGTTCCCTATACCGATCTCTAACGGAATTGGAGATATTTGTGCCGTTTAATTTTTTATCGATTTTTTTTGCAAGATGTATCCACGTGTCTTTATCGGGGTTTTTATTGAATTAGTTTGGGTTCTTCTTAATGACATCTCTTTAAATATAAGGAGAAAAATGTGAATGCAATTAGATGGCGTACCTGCACATTTTTCATATTCAGTGAGAAATTATATAAATCGAAAATTTAGTAATAAATGAATAGGTAGGAATGGTCCATGTCCTCCCGTAATGGACTTCTTTGTTTCGGGCTATATAAAAAATCTTGTACACAGTGTTCCACCTACTACTTGCGATAATGTGAAGGGAAGGATTAGAGATGCATTTGCCACAATCACCCCAAATATTATAAGGAATGTGAGAATATCATTTGAAGATAGAATAAGATGCTGTATTCAAGAGAATAGTTATCAATTCGAACATCTATTAAAATTTTTCTTTGTTTCTTCTAAAAGTAAAATTTTCTTTAATAAATATTTTTCATGTTCATAAATAATTCAGTTACTTACTACAAACATATTTATACAAAATTAATAACTTTTTATAATTATTCTGCTTATAAAATAATATTTTTTATTAGAAAACTTTTTTGAATATTTTCATGAT